ATACAATTCAATGACAGTACATCCTACCAAATCAGACGAGTATGGTAGATATAAATAGTTGCGCTAATAGTATTTTTTAAAACATCACCGTGTTGAGTGTGTTTATGGTTACTTGCAATTTGATAACACGTTTAGAGTGCGTAAAGTCGGGGATAACCTAAATAAGGCGGTTTTACAAGGATCATTCATTTTGAGGTCGGATACCAAAACTAAATCGTTCATAAAAAAATTGCCCAAGGTAGATTGCGGTGGATTTTTTTCTGTGGGTACTAGATACATGCCATTGCCTCCTTACAAAAAATCAAAAATCATTTGTTTCGGATTTTTTTCGGGGGAGAAACGCAGCACAAAATTCAAAAATTCTTGACGCAGATGATGTCTAGATCACTAAAGGGGATCTAAAGACATAAATATGGCTCACTAGGGGGCGTCTGTCAGGGGTTAAGCACCATTTAAAATATCTGTCAACTACTGTAACCTATTCAAAGTACACTAAGGTAATATAGAAATCAATTTGGTGTGGTATCTCAAACATTGAGTCTGGCACCAACATAAATATCCCTCACTAGAGGGCGTCTGTCAGGTGGCAAGCACTGTTTAAAATGTCTGCCGTTCTTAGTAGATGATTTACCATCAAATGGCCCTTAATCTGACAAATTTTTAGTTGGTATCTCCAATCTTGGATCTAGACCCATAGAGACCCCCCTTTAGGGCATGTCTGTCAGGGGGGTGTTACCCCCAATATTGTCTGTCATTACTGTTTCCATAATTAAAACACCTCATTCATCATGTATAAATTGGTTTCACTGAGTACCTCTAATGTTGGATCCAGACATGTTTTTAGGGGCCAGTTTAATGGGGCTACTGCGGTCAGGCCCCTGATATAAGCTTGCGGTCCCTCTAGAGGTCACAATTATTATGCGATTTAAAAAAAAAAAACGTTCAAATATATCACCGTTGCACCGTAATGTTTATTGAAATTGAATTTCGTGAAAATCGGGCCAAAATTACCGGACAAAATGGCCGCCCCTCATACGCAAATAGTGTATAACATCTGGTATATCAAGGTTGCCAAGGTTTTGATCCCATTTTGATGAAACTTGAAAGACATGTTTATAACCCAAAGATCTTGGTTTCTTTGGATATTTGCGCATATCGGATCGTAACTTCCTGAATTATGCTCTTCCATAATGTATGTTTAAACTATTATTGCCATAACTGTCAGCTCTTTATCTAAATCTTGTATAATTCGCCCCATGACACCAATGCCTTACAATGCTAATGAAGATGGGCACATGCCATACAGTGTGCTATGAGAGAAATTTTGACGGGCAGTGGCACTATGGCCTACTCTTATATCGAATTCCAACTGCCAAGGGATATTTTATGTGCACACCAATGTATACAATGTATACAATGTATACACTAGACAGCTGTCCTTGTCAGGCCCTCCGTTCTACACCACTGACAAGGGGGAAACCACGCCAGAAAATCCTGATGAACTTTCTCGGCCAATGCAGGGATCGAACACGCGACCTCCAGGCTAGTGAGCCAGACTCTTCCCCAAATTTGAATAAAAAATTTTTTTAATTAACAACTGTAGCCTCAAATGCACAAGGTTTTCGGAAAAAGAGTGGAAACTCCGATCAGGTTCATACTTTCATGAGCTCAACACTTTACACCAAATTTCAAAAAGATAGCCACACAAAACGTCGAAATATGCACCAACACAGCAACTATGTCACAAAAGAAATAGACCGCAGCTTATCCTAAAGGAAACCTGCAACCTGTATTACGTCAGCTCATTTTTATACGCCCACATTTTCATGTGGACGTATATTGTCGTCGCCCCTGTCCGTCCGTCCACAATTGTTTGGTATATCAATGTTGTGGACACTATAGAGGTCGCAATTTTTATCCAATTTTGTTGAAACTTGAAATCTAAGTTGATAATCCAAAGATCTCGGTTCCTTTCGATATTCGTGCACATCGGACCGTAACTTCTTGAATTATGGCCACTGATTGTACCAAAAATCGTGTTTTTAGCTTGTGGACCCTATAGAGGTCATAATTTTTATCCGATTTAAAAAAACGTTCAATTATATCACAGTTACACCCTAAGGATGGCTGAGTTTGAATTTCGTGAAAATCGGCACGAAATTGACAGACAAAATGGCCGCCGTTCGTTCTCAAATAGCGTAAAAGTATGGTATATCAAGGTTGTGGACACTATAGAGGTCACAATTTTTTTCCGATTTTGTTGAAACTTGAAATGTAAGTTTATAACCCAAAGATCTTGGTTCCTTTCAATATTCGCGCATATCGGACCGTAACTTCCTGAATTATCGCCCCTGATTGTACGAAAAATCGCGTTTTTAGCTTGTGGACCCTATAGAGGTCATAATTTTTTATCCGATTTAAAAAAACGTATTATTATATCACGGTTACACCCTAAGGACGGCTGAGTTCGAATTTCATGAAAATCGGCCCAAAATTGACAGACAAAATGGCCGCCGTTCGTTCTCAAATAGCGTAAAAATATGGTATATCAAGGTTGTGGACACTATAGAGGTCACAATTTTTATCCGATTTTGTTGAAACTTGAAATGTAAGTTTATAACCCAAAGATCTCGGTTCCTTTCGATATTCACGCATATCGAATTGTAATTTCCTGAATTATGGCCCTTGATTGTAGGAAAAATCACTTTCTTGTTAGCTTGTTCTCTATCCATCTCTCGAAAATGTGGGCGTATCCTGCCTGGCAGCCGCTGGTTATCCAATTTTGTTGAAACTTGAATTTTAAGTTTATAACCCAAAGATCTTGGTTCCTTTCGATATTCGCGCATATCGGACCGTAACTACTTGAATTATGGCCCCTGATTGTACGAAAAATCGCGTTTTTAGCTTGTGGACTCTAATACAGGTCATAATTTTTATCCGATTGAAAAAACCGTACTATTATATCACCGTTACACCCTAAGGACAGTTGAGTTCGAATTTAGTGAAAATCGGCCCAAAATTGACAGACAAAATGGCTGCCCTTCGTTCTCAAATAGCGTAAAAATATGGTATATCAAGGTTGTGGACCCTATAGAAGTCACAATTTTTATCCGATTTTGTTGAAACTTGAAATGTAAGTTTATAACCCAAAGATCTTGGTTCCTTTCCATATTCGCGCATATTGGACCGTAACGTCCTGAATTATGGCGCCTGATTGTACGAAAAATCGCGTTTTTAGTTTGTGGACCCCTATAGAGGTCATAATTTTTATGCTTTTGACTAATCAGTTAAGAGTATAATAACAATATTCCAGTTCGGGGTTGCTTCGGCAGATGTGAACAGTTTGGGGCAAAGTTCCTCTGCAGTCAGCTACTCTGCTACTGGGTATCCTAGGACTAGCGTGTTTTGTTTTGTTTTTTTGCTACAGCAGCAGTTGTTGAAGAGCTAAAAATAACAGGTTAGTGTACTTAAGCTGCTAAATGGGTGAACGTCGTCAACGTGGAGGTTACCCTCACTGGTGACTGTCCCCAATCGCTTGCGGCTGGTGTTTTATGTAAGTGGAGGGTCCAATCTAACTCTTGCCGATTTTCGTGTATATAAATATGGCCAGTGTCATTTTGGTTCGTAAAAACATCAACTGCCTATCCGTGGCCTGAATCTGAGTCAGCATTGACAATGACATAATTAAATTTTATTTATAGGCCTACATTGTTTAATTCGTTTTTCTTGCGTTCTTTTTTCAGCAATATGGTCCTTCCGCCATACACCCCAGCCCTGCTGATGACAAATGTCAACAACCGAGAAATGCTCATTGTTGGTTACTTTCGACAAGGCTATACGAATAATGAAATATTGGCAACACTCCTGACACGCCACAAAATGATCTTGCGTGATCTTGGGCTCAGACGTAGGAGAGATCCAGGATAAAACCTACAAATGTGTGATGTCATCATATCCGTTACAAAACACAGTGGAAAATGTCTAGGATACAGAACAGTTTGGAAAAATTAAAAATTAAACAATATGTTAGTCCCGAAATGACCTAGTTTGCGTCGAGTGGAAATTAAACCCCATTTCTCTCTCTCTCTCACACAAGATGACAGATTCCGTGTGCGTGTATGTGACTGTATGAACCTTTAATTTCAAGTGAGCATCCAACAGCCCTGAGAGTTATAAAACATCCCCAGAAGGCCTATTCGGTAAATATCGACATCATTTCTTCTAGGTGACGGAGATAAACGCTTGAAAAGAATAAAAGACATCTTAGGGGGATTCAATAGTAAAAGGTATCCAACCTCCAGTAAAAGGAGTCTTGCAGAGGAATCATCAACCTGAAGCAAAAGGAGTCTTGCAGAGCAATCGTCAACCTCCAGTAATGGGATTCGTGCAGAGGAATCGTCAGCCTCCAGTAAAAGGGATGATAAATAGTCAAAGGTGAGCATTGTTGGGATTATTATTATGCAACCCTCAGACGGCCATGTGTCGGTCGGCCAGTTAGCAAATATAAAACAATAAATAATGATAAATAAATAGCCAATATACGGGGTGAATGGTGATGAAGGTAAGGTGTAAGGCCCAGCCAGAGCGCCGTCTATACTTTTTGAATTAAACTAAGATTGTCTTCTAAATCGCAGGGACTTGAGGTTCTTGTCCTGTTTCTCATTAACAGATTGTGTCAGAAAATCTATTTAATCGTATACACCAACCCCCTTTATTTCACCTGACAAAAAGAAACACAATCGTCAATTTTTTGTTTTGCATTTTTTGTTTTGCAGATTGTGGTAGAGGAAAAGAAGGCCCGATCCAAAGATCCACGTTTCAGACTGGGATGGATGCACTACAAGAAGAAGGCCTTCACGCGGGCGAAGGCTAAGGATGGCGGTCTGATTAGAAGAACGATTCACGTGGGAAGCCTTGATTTGAGCGTTGAAGATGTTCTGAGCTACGGAAGAAGCATCTTTTTCGAAGGGGGCGAATCAAAGTTTGGAAACATTGAGGACATGGACTTGCATGTTGGCGATAGCCAGGGAAGGCAGCTCGACCAGTTTCAGGACCTGCAGGGATCGAAGTGTGGTCTTGGTGGCTACTTGAAAGCGCGCGGTTTGTTTGGCTGTAAGTAAGCGTTCTATTTAATGAGCAAACCTAAAACAGAGTCAACCCATGATACTGGCGAATCTGAAGAGCTAGTTGAGCAAGCCAGTGCCCCAGAAGAAGGACATCAGACAGAGACAGAAGTGGTGGATGTCACTGTGAGGAAGTGCAACCGAAGCCAACACATTAAACGCCATAAGGGTACATTCCAGTTCCGCCATACCATTGCCAACACACCCAAGAAAGCTGCTTACCGCCCAGACCTCCCAGACCAGGTCAGCGAAGCAATGTCACTGAATCCGCCTGATTTAACAATAACCTACGTTCGCGAAACTGTGTCATCCTACTCTGGACACATCAGTCATTTTAAATGTGAAGATATTGCGCAGTGTGAAGGGCTGACAAATGATCCATCTGATTCGGAGGATGAAACAAGTTACAATCCGTGTATGAACGGTTTCGCAGTTAATTCAATTAGTGTGGGCACAAAGAAACTGCTGCAGGTGTCAAGTCTTTCCACGTCAGCGAAGTCAAATTATGAAGTCAATAGAAAAGGAAATACAGATCAACACTACGTTGAGACACCCGAACATAATTCAATTCCTAGATTACGCCAAGGGAAAGACGTCAGTTTGACTTGTGCATGAATTCCTGGACGGTTGCAACATGGAAGACGCAATATTTGATGCAGACATGAAACTAGACATAGACATGCAGCTTAAACTGTTCATTGCCCGACAAGTCTTGCAAGGCGTGGCGTACATGCACGCACTGCGTCAATTTATCGTGCATCAGGACATTAAACCTGGAAATATTCTCATCCAGAAGAACACATTTGTAACCAAGCTGTGTGACTTTGGGATAAGTAGGATTAAGTCCGTTCTTGCCAGCACGGCCGCCGCGATGAGAACAACAATTGGTGTAGACGGATCGCCAGGATACATGGCTCCCGAGTGTCTTGTGGGTGGTGATAAATCAACAACCGCCACGACATGTGGTCAGTTGGAATTACATTACTTGAATTTTTCAGCGAACGCGACGCCTGGGAAACGGATGATTTACTCACCCCAGTAGATAAGATAAAAGAAAAGATGCAGCAAGAAATGTGTCCAATCAAGGAGTCCGACACCGTTCCACCAGAGGTTCGAAGTTGGTTGAAAGAGTGTGTCATCTACAACCCTTTCGCGCGCCCCAGTGCAGTTGATATCCTCACAAAAATGAAGAATGAGAACCTTGGACAATTATAATCATTTTGCGTTACCTATAACAGCAAGTTAACAGCATTAACCCTTTTTTGTATAGCATGATACCCCTTTAAATGATAAACTGAATTTGGAGGTCACTATTAGGAGAGAGTTTGTAGGCCTACACTCAATCCAGTCTGACTTTACCTTTTAAAAAAGATTTGCAATTCTTCGTTTCAACCAAGTTATTTTCCACCAACTCATCTCGTTTTACAAATTTCATTTCTCATTTTACAAGATTTCATTTCTTGATTTCTTGGTTTACGGACACCCATGCCAACTCTTATATTGGCGATCGTTACAATCTTGTCTGCAATAATTTGTGTTATATTGTAATTAGTCGTTACAGTGTGCAGAAGTTACTAAACCGAATTTATGTTATATACGCCAACACGTTTAATAACTTTTTGTGTTTCGAAAAGTATAGGTGTTTTTCTTTGGTTGTTGATTTTAAGGTCCTGTAGTGTAATTGAATTTGTTTGTATCATTTTCATGTATTTGAATTATCATTTTCATGTTTGTCTTTGTAATGTGTTGAGGATGCTTTTCTTTCTTAAGTCCACCCTGTAGTGCGAGTGTAATTGATTTGTTTGTTTATCATTTTCATGTTTGTCTTTGAAATGCGTTGAGGATGCTTTTCTTTTTTAAGTCTACCCTGTAGTGCGAGTGTAATTGATTTGTTTGATTATCATTTTCATGTTTGTCTTTGAAATGTGTTGAAGATTCTGGCATACAGAAGCTTTTCTTTTTTAAAAGGGACCCTAGAGGCAGCTAGTTATATGGCAATTGTACGGCCACTTTACGACAGGTGGTGCTAGTGATGACTGCGAGCTTATGAATTGGCATCATATATTTTCTATCGTATGTTAACCATGTTAACAAACAATGGATTTTATTTGCAATGATACATCAAAATCCGCCTAATCAGGGTAGTAACTATATGCATGTGCCAATAAGAAGCTGCCTCTAGAGGCCCTGTAATAATCCCAGGTCTGAGTTGCAGTGTTGATGGTAACAGCCATCCTATTTACCGACCATAACCGACTTATACGTTTACAAGTTTTTTTATCCTGCAAAAACGAATGTTCTGATCAATCCGGTGTAATATGGATCTTTATCAAGTTTTAAATGATATTTGAAAGTTTCGAAACATTTGCACGAAGTAAGTTTGAGAAAATCCACAACTTAAACACCAATCACAAACCCTGTTCAGTGTTTATAATTTCAACCAAACCTTAAAATTTGGGTTATCAAATTTTGACTTGATGAATCTAAAAATACATTTTTACATGACGTGTATTTCATTGCCAAACTTCAGTTCCTTTTCCTCATTTTATTACTACACTACCGGGAAAGTACTGACCAAAACAAAGGTTCAACGCTGAGCAGAGTTTTGCAGTTAAAGTTTTAACAGTGGATTCGCCGTCTTTAAATTTTCAGATATCATTTAAAACATCATTATATCATTATAACACATGCTTTAATGATCATACTAACATAGATCTTTAGCAGTTGTTTGCAGTTAAAAACTGATAAACGTAAACGTTGGTTTGGGTCGGTAATAATTCGGTAATAATAGTAATACTGACAATACATGAATGTTAAGAAGCATTATCCGATACTCTTTGTCGTACGTTATTTGATTCCTGATCTTGTCTTAAAAATGACATGAATCACATGTAATTTGTACCCATCATTTATTTTAGCATTTGAACGAATAAACACAGTTTGCTGCAAAAACCATCTTATTTTGAGTTACATTGCTGTTCCTGCCAGAGTAGAGAACACTTGGCCGCATATATCGGAAGGAATCGATGATGTCTCCGTAAGAATCAAATTCTAATTATAACGAGTAATTTCATCGATCAGTTTTACGTAAAGTGCGGAAGCCACGTCGACATCGTTTGGGGTTTGAATACCTGGCAAAACAAGCTCGGCGAGTTCGCGAAATTGTTCAGTTTGTCCATTTGCTGATGGCTGTTGAAACTCTGGAAGCTGTTGACAGATCTCGATATCCTGCACAGCGCAATCGATTACATAATCATGCGTGTCGTATAATTGAGGAGTGAAAAACATTACATCTGGTTTTCCTTTTGGGGCTTGACTGTTTCGATTCACTTGAAGTATGTGTTGATTCCATTCAATTGCAACTCTGTCTAGTTCTTCCTGGATGACTTGCATGAAGCAAAAGCGGAGACATTCGACGTGCAGAGGGTCGGAATCGATATACAAGCCGGTATCTCGTAAGTCCTTGAAAAAATTAATGCACCAATCAGCAGTGTGGCGGCGGAGAATAGACCACCAAGCCTCTATCCTTTGATTTGATGAACTTTTTCCGTATATGAAGCAACAACGGTCATCTTCTGTCCTTCCTTTGAGCGCATGAGACACTGTTTGCAGTGTTTCGATGTGCACGTTTTCTGTCCCTAGATCACTTCTGACCGTTTGAGGGCAACCACCTACTTGTTTCACAGTTTTTAAAAAATATGAGGCGATTGTGGCCAGATTGTTATTCGTAGTGCCAACCTTAAGCCAGAATATTCTCCTGGAGAAACAATCAATTGCACCATGTACTGCAAAGCCAAATGACTTGAGGTTATCATAGCCGTCAATATGCCTGGGAATGATATCGTCGCCTTAAAAGTCGTCTTCTCCTACGACGTTCAACGCCTTCTTAATCTATGATGCGTATAAATTCAATGACTATTTTCCGTGAAATGACTAGTCCATACCCCTTTTTTATACTTTCCAAACTATTCTGTATCCTAGACATTTGCCACTGTGTTTTTCAACGGATATGATGACATCAATGACATCACACATTTGTAGGTTTTGTCCTGGATCTCTCCTACGGCTGAGCCCAAGATCACGCAAGATCCTTTTTAAATGTGATATGCTAAGGACTATGCCGTGGCGTGTCAGTCTAGTGTTGCAATATTTCATTATTCGTATAGCCTTGTCGAAAGTAACCAACAATGAACATTTTTCTGTTGTTGACATTTGTCATCAGCAGGGTTGGGGTGTATGGCGGAAGGACCATATTGCTGAAAAAAGGACGCAAGAAAAACGAATTAAACAATGTAGGCCTATAAATAAAATTTAATTATGTCATTGCCGATGCTGACTCAGATTCAGGCCACGGATAGGCAGTTGATGTTTTTACGAACCAAAATGACACTGGCCATATTTATATACATGATTGTCCCTATTTCAAGTCACAAAATGCGGCAAGAGTTAGATTCGATCCTCCACTTACATAAGACACCAGCCGCAAGCGATTGGGGACAGTCCCCAGTGAGGGTAACCTCCACGTTGACGACGTTCACCCATTAGAGCAGGAGCCCATGTAGGGGGTTAACCTAGCTGAAAAGTGTACCAATTTTCTCCTATATGGTATCAATGTATGTATATCTGGTATCATCAGAATGTAAGTTTGCCGGTTTCTGGTGGTGGGTGTGGTATTCTACGCCCAAAATGCCATGCCCCCAACTAGTCTAGATTAGCTCAAAAGTGTACCACACGAAAATCATACAGCAGTGTACCGTACATCTTCAGATATTACAAAAAAAACTCTGACAGACATTTCTAGTGGTGGGGTACCCCTGACAGAGCTATGTAATTGGTACACTTTTCAGTTAGGTTGACCCCCTGGGCTCCCGGGCCCTTATTCAAGAAAACTTAAACCAAGATACAATCGAAATTTTAAGAAATACTGCAATTTGCATAAATCAATTTGCATAAATCCAATGAAGTTGCAGTATTTCTTAAAATTTCGGTTGTAACTTAGTTTAAGTTTTCGTGAATAAGGGCCCAGGTCTACATTTAGCAGCTTAAGTACACTAACCTGTTATTCTTAGCTCTTCAACAACTGCTGTTGCAAAAAAAAAAACCAGCGGCTGCCAGGCAGGATACGCCCACATTTTCGAGAGATGGATAGAGAACAAGCAAAAAAGAAAGTGATTATTCCTACAATCAAGGGCCATAATTCAGAAAATTACAATTACAGATCTTTGGGTTATAAACTTACATTTCAAGTTTCAACAAAATCGGATAAAAATTGTGACCTCTATAGGGTCCACAACCTTGATATACCATATTTTTTACCTTATTTGAGAACGAGGGGCGGCCATTTTGTCTGTCAGTTTTGGGCCGATTGTCACGAAATTCGAACTCAGCCATCCTTAGGGTGTATCGGTGATATAATAAAACGGTTTTTTTAAATCGGATAAAAATTATGACCTCTATAGGGTCCACAAGCTAAAAACGCGATTTTTCGTACAATCAGGGGCCAAAATTCAGGAAGTTACGGTCATATATGCGCGAATATCGAAAGGAACCAAGATCTTTGGGTTATAAACTTACATTTCAAGTTTCAACACAATCGAAGAAAAATTGTGACCTCTATAGGGTCCACAACCTTGATATACCATATTTTTACGCTATTTGAGAACGAACGGCGACCATTCTGTCTGTCAATTTTGGGCCGATTTTCACGAAATAGGAACATAGCCGTCCCTAGGGTGTAACGGTGATACAATAATACGTTTTATTAAATCGGATAAAAATTGTGACCTCTATAGGGTCCACAACCTTGATATACCATATTTTTACGCTATTTCAGAACGAAGGGCGGCCATTTTGTCTGTCAGTTTTGGGCCTATTTTCACGAAATTCGAACTCAGCCATCCTTAGGGTGTAACGGTGATATAATAATACGGTTTTTTAAATCGGATAAAAATTATGACCTCTATAGGGTCCACAAGCTAAAAACGTGATTTTTCGTACAATCAGGGGCCATAATTCAGGAAGTTACGTTCCGATATGCGCGAATATCGAAAGGAACCGAGATCTTTGGGTTATAAGCATATATTTCAAGTTTAAACCAAATCGGCCATTTTGTCTGTCAGTTTTGGGCCTATTTTCACGAAATTCGAACTCAGCCATCCTTAGGGTGTAACGGTGATATAATAATACGGTTTTTTAAATCGGATAAAAATTATGACCTCTACAGTGTTCACAAGCTAAAAACGTGATTTTTCGTACAATCAGGGACCTTAATCCATGAAGTTACAGTCCGACACATGCCAATATCGAAAGGAACCGAGATCTTTGGGTGATAATCCTATAAATCGGATAAAAATTGTGACCTGTAGACTGTTCACAAACAATTGTGGACGGACGGACGGACGGACATGAAAATGTGGGCGTATAAAAAAAACAAAAAACAAAACAAAACACGCCAGTCCTAGGATACCGAGTAGCAGAGTAGCTCACTGCAGAGGAACTTTGCCCCAAACTGTTCACATCTGCCGAAGCAAACCCGAACTGGAATATTGTTATTATACTCTAACTGATTAGTCAAAAACAAAACCTGATCCGATTTGGAATTTGGAATTTCGCATTTGGAATTTGGAATGAACATTCTGGGCTTTCGTAAATAACAGATACATATGGTCGAATTTCTGCTCACTAATAATTCCTTCCAAAACCAAAAGTTGTTATGTGAGGCTGTGAGAGGATATCTGACAATTCATAAAAAGAATTGACTGCCACTAGATAAGAGAACACGAAAGAAAAACTGAAAAAGTCAGTGCATTACCATGTTTTTATAAGGTATAGAATGAATATAAACAACGGAATGTACAGACTATTTCTATTTTTCTCGTGTTCTTATATCTAATGACATTCAATTACTTTATTGAATTGTCAGGTATCCTCTTACAATCCCATATAACAACTTTGTACACATTGCCTGATTGTAGACATTGACTGTAACATATATATATATATAGAGGGATGACTCGTGTTTTCCTTTGACGTTCGTCACTTCCGATTCAAGAAACCTGTATTACTCAACTATCGTAGCAATGATCACTGTGTTAAAATTATATTTGGAATGTGTTTAACCAGCTCTATCACATATGTGATAATGACTGGAACCAATATTGTCCTTTAACATTTCGAGCTAAAGCTAAACAGAGCTAATCAAGTTCATTGGTCGATGCTTTGGGACAAGATAACTTCGATTCTATCTGATAGTGATGAAACTTAGTGTATATAATCAGTTTGATTGCTTGAAAAAAATAAATGTGCTGTTAATTAATATGTCTCATCTATTTATTTTGGAATTTCGGTGGGGGAATTCAGCCTCACTGTTGGCTTGTTTAGCTTGTTCTCTATCCATCTCTTGCAAAATGTGGGCCTATCTTGCCTGGAAACCACTGGTTAATGGGCCTATATAATGAAAATATGGTTTATATATAGATGTCGGTCCTTCAGCCAAAATTTCTTGTGAACACTATAGTATACAGACTACATTTATAATTCGATAAAGCCTATTAGAAGTAATTAACGAAAATTGCTGAAATTGTATTTCATATCAGGATGATAACTTTTGTCATTCAAGAGTTCAAAAGGTTCTACAAAGTTAAACGAGGGCAATATATCCAGTAGTAATGAACAAACTTGTATAATATCACTACTGAATTTCAATCGGCTTCTTTGTTTTAATAATTTAAATTATACCTATAGATTGGATGGTAACTTTTGTCCTTCCATGACTCTTGGAAGTAATTAATGGAAATTTTTGAAAATCAACAGCATTCTTCATTTCACAAGGCAACATTTGAACATGTACAAATGTTAAAAAGATCAGATGGTAAATATACTCTGTACCTCATTGTTCACAAGAAATTGTGGATGCCAAACATGACCCAAATGTTTCACACCAAATTTGAAAAACATCTTCTAAATACTGCAGCCCCTATCACCTTAACCAGGCAATTGGTATAATAATGTGTCGGTTTGATTACCCCTATGTGTTATATCTACTGGTAATATATAATACATGTATTTTTAGCTCATTGGTTACTATGCAGGGCCGGCGGAAGCAATTCTTGATTGGGGGGGCTTCCATCCTAGGTCCTTATAGGCGCGGGTCCAGGGGCCGCAATAACCTGGAGAAAAGAGTACTTGCAGCCAAATTATTGGGGGGGCTAAAGCCCCCCCACTCCGCCAGGCCTGCTATGGTTAAATGGTGTCTCTAATTAGTTGCTTTTCCTTATGTCAACTTTAAAGTCAACTGAACATAGAAACAGCAGCTCTCACAAATGTGTTAGATGTTATTTTATGGGCAAAAAAATTGATACTTCAACCTATTAACAATGTTACAATCATAATAAAACTGACACATTTGACACACAAACAATAAGTGGGTCTAAGCTTGTTTATTTTAATAGAATATAAAAGTGTTAACCTACAGTTAAACAATACAGTTCCACACTCTAACTAGAATTGTCTCTGCTTCTTACAAGTCAAAAATTAGTCTGGACAAAACAGCAAATTAACAATGCATTCTGCATATTTCAAATACAAGCTGAAGGTCATTTTTCCTCTCAACCAATCATAAGACATACAATAATTTCTGTATACAATTTGGTGCTATTTTGTCCACACCACTGTTCATCGATCAGCAACAATTTATGAGAGAGAGAGAAATGGGGTTTAACATCCACTCGACACAAACTAGGTCATTTCGGGACTAACATATGGTTCAATTTTATTTCAATATTTCGCTTGCACATAGGGGTCTTTAGCAGTGGGAGGAAACCGGGGGACCCGGAGAAAACTCACGAGGTTGGACAGGCGACCCCATTCCTTGCCAGGTACAACCAGGGAATCAAAACCCCACCAGTTGACTCAATGACAGACCGTATGATACAGCGCACGCGTGCTAACCATTCGGCCATCCAACCCCCCAACAATTTATGACGGAGAGATTTAGATTAGTATATACAGCATAACTGAGTCCAGTCTAAATACAGAATTATTAAATATATGAATTGATACATTCATATACTGGTAATCATGATTCTAATGGACTGATAAAATTTAAATAAAACAGTAGGACTTTAAAACCCATTTTATTTCATTTCATAAAATAAAAATTCATAATGAAATATTACAAATGAAATAATAATTAGAATGGTATAGCGTGTAATGATGTAAAAATTGAAAAAAACAAACCCAACAACATTTGTTCCACATGTATATAAAGCAGTGTTTTAAAACAAAATATAATAGCTTTATTTCCTTAGAACCTATAAAATATTTATTTAAAAGAGGTGTTAATAATAAAAATAAATTCATCTATCACTGCAGTTAAATCGAAAATGTTCAATTTGACTGTAGGCAATTTTTTACAGAAACAAGCAGTTGCCATGCAAGATATGCCCACATTTTGCAAGAGATGGACAGAGAACAAACTAAAAATAAAACGTGATTTTTCCTAAAATTAGGGGCCATAATCCAGGAAGTTATAGTCTGAAATGCATGAATATCAAAAGGAAGCAAGATCTTTGGGATATAAATATATATTTTAAGTTTCATCAAAATCGAACAAAAAATTGTGACCTCTTGAGGGTTCACAATCTTGTTATTACATACTTTTACACTATTTGCGTACAAGGAGCAGTCATTTAGTCAAGCAGTTTCTTTCTGATTTTCACAATATTCAATCTCACCCTCCAATGGGGAAATGGTGATTTATTTAAACATTTTTTGAAATCGGATAAAAATTGTGACTTCCAGAGGGTCCACAAGCTAAAAACACAATTTTTTGTACAATCAGGGGCCGTTATACAGGAGGTTACGTTCTGATATGTGCGATTATCGAAAGGAACCAAGATCTTTGGGATATAAACATATATTTTATGTTTCATCAAAATCAGATAAAAATTGTGACCTCTAAAGGCTCCACATTGGACTCCACAACTTTGACATTACATACTGTATTTGTTCATCTCCTTAAATTCTGTGTATCAATCTAAAGTCCATCGAATGATCACTTTGGCCTGTACAGCATCTGCAAGATATTTCGAAGTAATCAATGCCCATAATTATCAGAAATCCTTGAAAATATATCGGTGTCTTCGTCTCATGGTTGTAAACACTGTTTATAAATTTATAAACAGATGGATAACTTTGGTCTCTAGAGCATCCACAAGAATTTTAAAGTTGCCAAGGACCATAATTCTGACAGTAATTATCGAAAATCGTTGGAAATCAGTAGGGTTCTTCTTCTCATAACTGTAAACACTGTGTATTAATTTAAAGATAGGTTGCCAGGCAACAAAACATACGCCCACAGCAGCTAAGTCATCTGAGCTGTCAACAAGAGTTGTCGCATATTTCTTCTATTGTTGTTGATAAAACATTTATAATACACTAAAATCTGATTAAGAGTAACAACTCATTCAGTAATTATCAGAAAATCATTAGAATTTGTTTGGCTTTTAGTTCTGCCCAATGCTAACATTTAGTATACAAAACATTTAATATCATGGATTTAGCTGTTAAAGTTATCAAAATTCATTGAAAATCAATATATTTGTTCATCTCAAGACCTTAAACTCTGTGTATCAATCTAAAGTCAATCAGATGATAACTTTAACCTCTAGAGCGTCCACAAGATTTTTCAAAGTGATCAAGGGCCATAACCCTGGCAGTAATTATTGGAAATCGTTTAAAATCAATAGGCTTCTTCGTCTCATGACCTCAAACACTGTGTATAAATTTCAAAACAATCGGATAACTTTAGCCTCTACAGCGTCCAAAAGATTTTTCAAAGTGATCAAGGGCCATAACTCTTGACAGTAATTATCAGCAATCGTTGAAAATTAATAGACTTCTTCGTCTCATGACCTTAAACACTTTGTATAAATTTAAAGTCAATCGGATATTAACTTTAGCCTCTGAAGCGTCCACAAGCAATTGTGGACGACAGACAGGGGGGCGACGACAATATACGACTACATTTCAATGTGGGCGTATAAAAACGAATAGATGATAACTTTGGTCTCTAGAGCATCCACAATAATATTCAAAGTGGCCAAGGGCCATAATTCTAACAGTAATTATTGGAAATTGTTGAAAATCAATAGGCTTCTTTGTCTTATGTCCTTTAACATTGTGTATAAATTTAAAGTCAATCGCATATTAACTTCGTCCACATGATTGTTCATAGTGATTAAAAAGGGTCATAACTTTGGTAGTAATTATCGTAAACGTTAAAATCAATAGGCTTCTTCGTCTTAAAAGTCAATCGGATATTAACTTTAGCCTGTAGAGCAGAGGTGGGCAAACTACTGCTCACGAAGTCTTGTCATCCGGCTCACCAGACCCTTCCATTACATCTGAAAATTTATGAGTAATTTTATCTCTCAATGAAATAAAAAATCGAAACTGCTTATTGTTGGGCCCAAACTCTAAACGGGCATTACTCTCTGTAGGATCAAAAATCTTTGTAGGTCTATTTATAGCTTGCAGCGTCACTCAATGACATATATAGATGCCTTATTAATGTCACTTGACTTGGGCCTACTTTCATGTTACGTTATTGTTTGATTTGTTGACATGCTTTGGTTTTTCTCTGAATATAACTATGGAGACGAATAAAAACCGCAGAATGAGTATTTTGTTTGGTATTACTTGAAAATAAAATGAAATTTCATAATCCTTGTTTGTCCCTCGCTTTGTTTCAAAACTGCTGTAGAGCGTCCACAACCAATTGTGGATGCCTGACCGACAGATGGGGGCGACAACAATTTCTGACCACAGTCCGATATGCGTGAATATCGAAAGGAACCGAGATCTTTGGGTTCTAAATATACATTTCAAGTTTCTATAATCATACATTTTAGGTTTCATCAAAATCAGATAAAAATCATGACCTCTAAAGTGTCCACAAACTAAAAATGTGATTTTCCGTACAAGCAGAGGCCATAATCCATGAACAGGAACCGCTGCCTTTTGGAGATAAACCTATATTTCAAGTTTCGTCAAAATCGGATAAAAATTGTGACCTGTAGAGTGTCCAAAAACAAATTGTGGACGGACAGGGGTGATGACAATATACGTCCACATGAAAATGTTGGCATATAAAAACTGTTAAACCATCATTTAAAATTTCTCAGTCTCTAAGTTGAGCCAGTTCTTGGATGTTATATTAAATACAATACTATTAAAAATAACTACATTTTTTTCTTGGAGAAAGAGATAATGGCAGAATCTTTAACAAAACTTGAATGTGTTAATATGAAACATTTTAAAGATTTAACTTTTCCATGGTTAACAAATACAAAAAATGCTGCCGTTTATCAATAACAATTTATAATAGTTACTTTGTTCAATAATAAATTGAGCTCAGAATTTAGGGAAGATTTAATCAAATAATTTTAAGAAATAAAAACCCTGACAGCTTACATACTACTCAATGTCAAATAAACATTTGGCACTTTTGGCAATACAATTTAAATTTTAATACAATTAGCATTATGGTATGCTATTTTATAATGTATTTATTAATGATTGTATCATTTTATGAAAATTTAAATTTACACATTCCCTGCATAGTATTCACAACCATTTCTAAAAGCAAGGGGAAATGAAAAAGAAATTTAGGAGATCAATTATTTACAGTAGTTTCAAATGAATAACTTTCAAAAGTGAAAACAAAGAACTGTTTTCCTCAAAGAAACACCATACCTAGAACCATCAAAAATATTAAACAAAAATAAAATAAGGCTGGAAGATTATGGTATACCAGGTATATAACTCAATATTTAAACGTAAACAATAACATGAAAATATCACCAAGAACATGTTGATAGATCTATTCCATAAATGTACACAAATACAATAAGCTCATACTGGTAACTATTTTGAGTGTATTTGACTTTTTCTGCCAATGTAATGTTACATTAGTTACCGTCTGTCACTACAAACAACAGTTTAGTAAAGTATTATATCATTCTAAAACAAAACATGCTTCGATCCAGCTTGGGGAGATTCACAATAGGAACGATGTTTAAAAAATAAAGGTTGTTGAATAATTGTTCAGCATAGCCGGCAGTTTAAGATTTCTCTGAAATACAGAGGAAACAGACCTAAAGCAAGTATCATTTCTATTCTCAAATATTTGTTCACAATGTAATACAAATTGTTTCAATGGCATTTAGGAATTGAACTGGAATATACAGGTCACAATTCTATGGAATACAATTACTGCTTATTACTGATTGACATTTCGACTAGGCTTCTCTAATCATTATCAAGCAATGATAAAATATGACAAGACAATATATACATGTAAACAACACAAATTGGTTAATGCTGACCAACCAGAGATAAGTATTGTATATTTCATCATTTATCATTCCTTGACAATGACTAGAGAAGCCTAGTCGAAAAGTCGCTCAGTAAGCAGTAATTGTATTCCATAGAATTGTGACCTATATATATATCACAATATTAAAGCTAAAGTTTGAGTTAAACAATTTCGTAAACATGTACATATTCATGTTCAGAATATCGCTTCATTAAGCTGTAAGTGACAATAGGTGTCACGCATGAAACTGGGTATAATGAATTTTTCTAAAACTCTATAACATTTTACATTTGTTGAATCCACATACCTAGCTAACATACAGTGGAATAATTTTTCTTTTTCTACCCGACACACACAATTATAAACCAGCAGTTGCCAAGCAAGATATGCCCATCATTTTTCGTACAACCAGGGGCCATAATCCAGGAAGTTATGGTCTAAAATGCATGAATATCAAAAGGGACTGAGATCTTTGGGATATAAAGATATATTTTAAGTTTCATCAAAATCAGACAAAAATTGTGTACAGGAAGCAGCTATTTTGTAAGGCAGTTTCACTATGGTGTAACGGTCACTTTGTCAGGCAGTTTCGTTTCAATTTTCCCAAAATTTGAACTCGGCCTCTACTATGATGAAACGATGATATATGGTGTAACAAGCTAAAAATGTGATTTTTCGTACAATCGGGGGCCATAATCCAGGAAGTTATGGACGATATGTGCGAATATCCAAAGAAACTGGGATCTTTGGGATATAAACATATATTTTAAGTTTTATCAAAATCAGACAAAAATTGTGTACAGGAAGCAGCTATTTTGTAAGGCAGTTTCACTATGGTGTAACGGTGAAATACTGTAACGGTTTTTTAAATTGGATAAAAATTGTGAACTCTAGAGGGACCACATGCTAAAAAAAAATATGCGATTTTTTGTTCAATCAGGGGAATGCAGGATGTTACCATCCGATACTTGCCAATATCCATCTTCAATAGAAGGCTTGATCTCGCTTTAACTACATACATCTTATCAAGGCCTTCATGTAAAACCCTGCATATTGTGGCACTAATTTCGATTGGGTACAAGCCCAACTTATGAGCCTACCAGATTCCTCGATCGTCGCGAATACCAAGTCTCGCGGTTTCAAGCTAAAATGTCTACCTGTGATAATCGAGTTGCAAAGTTCAAGGTTCATTCAATGTCAATTTTTCCGTGGAGGTCACGATGTCAGAACCTCTGATTGGACGCTACTGCTCACGTGTCTGTAGATAACATAGCTATGAGTTCAGGAATTGTGAAGTAAACAAGCAACGGCCAGATGTGAAACTCGCAGTCGTTGCTTCAGGAACATGGCCAATATCGAAAGGAACCGAGATTCTTGGAAGACAAACCTATCTTTCATGTTTCGTCAAAATCTGATAAAAATTATGACCTGTAGAGTGTCCACAAACAAATTATGGACGGACGGAGGGACAGGGGTGACGACAATATACGACCACATGAAAATGTGGGCGTATAAAAAGCGAACAGTGAGGCTGATGTCCCCCGCCACAATCCCAACATAAATAGATGATACATGATACACTAAGTATCACCCCTCAAAGTCATCTTTGTCCAAAAGCATGACCAATGAAATTGCTTAGCTCTGCTTAGCTTTAGCTCAAAATGTTAATCATTGAACTCAGTCAAGACATTCACCTACTGAACATCTACACCAAGTTTTAACATTCTATCTTAATTAAAAGCAGAGCTGTTCCGTTCCAAAGTCTTGACCAATCAAATTGCTTATCGCTACTTAGTCTAAGCATAAAATTCTCATCATCGAAATTAGTCAAGGTATTGATATAATGAATCTATACTCTTGAGTTTCATCACTCTTTCTCAATTAGAATCAAGCTCTAATGTTAAGAATGTTGAGCTCCAAAGTCTCGACCAATCAAATTGCTTATCACTCTGCTTACCCTGAGCCGAAAATGCTCATTATCAAACTTAGTCAAGGTATTGATGTCACCAATAAAACTGCTTATCGTTCTGCTTACCCTAAGTAGAAAATGCTCATTATAGAAATTATAGTCAAGGTAATTATGTAATGAAACTATACACAAAGTTTCACCACTCTCACTCAATTAGAATCAAAATTATCAAGCTCCAAAGTTGGCTTACCCTGAGCCAAAAATGCTCATTATCAAACTTAGTCAAGGTATTGATGTAATGAACCTTTACACCAAGTTTCACCACTCTCACTCAATTAGAATCAAAGTTATAAAGCTCCAAAGTAGCTTATCGTGAAATGCTCATTATCGAACTTAGTTAAGGTATTGATGTAATGAAACTTTACACCAAGTTTCATCACTCTCACTTCACAAGAACCAAAGTTATTGTGTCCAAAAAACATCAACCAATCAAATTGCTTATCTCTGCTTAGCCTAAGCAGAAAATGCTAATCTCTGAACTCCATCAAGGCATTCACATAATACACACCTAAACCAAGTTTGAACATTCTAGCTCAATTAGAAGGAGAGTTCCCAAAATGTGACAGAAAGCCGTTTAGGCAGACAGACCCATTTTAATAGTCCCATGCTTTCTTTGAAAGATGGGGGACAATTAATCAACTAACATAATGCAAATTTGAACTCCAAATAATGCGCTTGCATTTCTCATACCCCTTTAATAGATATGTTAGTCATTTGGATACCCCCCCTGGAATTCTGCAAATACCACTTTTGTTTTACTCGAATGTCCAACATTTTATGATAACAATACTTGATCATGGCTGGTGTTTTATACTTAACATAACAGATATATAAATATAAATCCTTCTTTTCAATATCAAGTATGCCTTGTATACTGGTTGAGTGGTATCAGGAATGGACTGAAATGTATTAGGAATGAACTAATGTGAAATAATGGGTAATAAAATAGATACAAAACAATACCAAAATGAAAAATTGAATAACATATCCTTTTTTTTTTATAACAATGATTTTTAACAAATGGAGTATTAACTAAACACCTTACTCCCAGATCTATAACATCATGATCTCGATACAACATGGACTTGACAATCAAATAACACTAATATTCACACTATAGATGTGTGCACATTGAAACATATTAATACCAGAGGTATCTCATGCTAATATGTTTATGTTTTATGATTGCTAAAAATCATGGATGTTTTCTGTTCTGAGCATGGTATTTATGAGTGGCAAGGTAAGACTAACATAACAAGAAGACACCCAATGATTACAAGCCTCACTTTTTTATGATTACTGTGTCATGTAAATCAGTGGTTGGATTACATTATACGTTGTCTTACTTTACAAATGATATGAATAGAAGTTAGAAGGTGGATGATAGCAAGACATTAACAAATTTAGAATTTAGAATCTAATATACCGTCATAAATTGATGTATTTGTATAGGAATGATTTCTGCGATCATAAGTGCATAGCTGATTTATCACTGATGATTTGTGTTTGTCCACCACATTGGACATAGTAAATTCTTTTACCCCATTTTATTTCATGAGGTTTAAATAGACTCAAAAAGACTATCATTGTTTGTAACAATTCTCGTACTGTCCATGCAATTATGAAGTACAACAGAGAAAATGTCAATTTGGTATTCTGAAATAAAAGAGAAAAATTTATCAATACAAATGTAGAAAAAGATTTGGTCATAATTTATTAGGCTAAAATGCACACAATTATGAAAACATACACTGAATTTATTATCTGCCTGTGTGTGGTTTTTGTGGTTTGAGTAATAGAATGATGCAAAATTCAAACCCTTGAAGACACAAAATTGCACAAAATATGCATCAGAGAAATTATTCTGATCAAGCCTGATTTGTGCCAGATTTTGTCAGTGACAGGTGGCTTATTTCCAAATTGCACTACTTTAATTAGGGTTTCACACTATTGTTTTTGTTCGGATTATTATTCTTCTTATTATTATTTTTCCATTTGAGCATATCTCAGAAACTACTTGTCGGATCGATTCGATGTCTTCAGCTTTACTGGGAAAGTGGGTTTGACTTAAATTTTAAAGTTATTTCCAACGTTCTGCGACAATGCGAAATGTCCGAAATCACCGAAGTTGTCGTTTTTCGATATTTTGCCGTAATGTTATCAATAATTGTCGGATTGTAATATTTGATACATTTTGACATAGCCAGAGACAAGGCACATAGCTAAGGTTCTTTGGATTTTTTATTTTCGACGAATCTTCGGAGATATTAGGCGCCAAATTTTGAAAATTTAAATTTTTACGAAAAACTTTTTTATTAATGAATATTTCTATGTGGTATTTTACCAAGGGTTAAAGGGTCATCTGATTTGACAAAAAATGTCAACATTTTTTGTCACCGTATTTTTCCTTGGCCCCCATTGGCTAATTCAGTTTTTCAGTCCTGGATTAATTATTTATTGTTCGATTTGTATAAAACAAAGTGCATATGTTCCGTGGTCCAAAATGTCATTTTTTTTGTTACCGGTACATTTTCCTTTCGGCAAAGGAAGTAACATAAATTTAGCAAAATTTACCAGTTTTTGAAAGCAAATATTATTTTTTTCAAATCTGGTATGACTGAAAGGGTATACAATGAATTGATATTGCCGGATTTGATTGATTCTGCGTACATTTTATGTGATGTGTGCAATGCCTAAATGGAAACCTGTTTAATGGTTTCATCGGTACCGGAAGTGACATATGTTCAAGGGTAACAGGGCACCGGTGAAACCCGTCATTACTGCATCGCAGTTCTAGTTTAAATTATAATTAACTGCTACCTTATAGGAGTACTCAAGCCATTGTAATTTGTTTATAACTCATTCATTAACAAATACTGAAATAGTTTCAATAATGAACAACCCAAAAGATAAATTATTTTGACATGTAATTACAAACAATTACTAAAATGCTACTTAAAGATACACTATGTAATAGTGATGGTCTGATATGGCACGTATCGGTTTTACCAATATCAGATATTGGCAGCGAAATATATCGGCCGATACAGATACAATTACCGATAGTGGTGGATATAAAGAAATGAAATGAAATGGGGTTTAACGTCCTACTGTTCTGCTCCTATACTGGACTAATGAAGACGGGCATACGGCATACAGTGTGCTATGAGTGAAATTTTGCCCGGGCAGCGGCACTATCGCCTACTCTTCTATCGAATTCCAACTGCCAAGGGATCTTTTACGTGCATTCCAATGTATACACGGGACCTCGGTTTTCCGTCTCATCCGAAGGACTAGACGGCTGTCCTTGTCAGGCCCTGCGTTCTGCACTACTGAAAAGGGGAAACCACATCGGAAAATCTGGATGAACTTTCTCCGTCAATGCAGGGATCGAACACCCGACCTCCAGGCTAGCGAGCCAGCATTTTAACCGCCAGCCATCGTGGCTCCCGGTGGATATAAAACCATTACACATTAAAATGTCTTCAAATATTAGCATGATAATCTATGTAGATATTTGTCAGGAAACGCATGGTACTAATTTACCGTGGGAATCGAACAAAAACACTGTGTTTTTGAAGTAATAATTAGGTCACCCTTCCTACGCAATCAAAACTACACACCATCTATTATGAACTTAATTATTTGCTGTATCATTAATTAATAAAGTCGAGATTATCATATTTTAAGTGTTGATTACGATACAATTCCATAAAATAATCGGCACAGACGGCAGCTGGATGTCTATATCAGTTCATGCGGTAATGAATGATGCATCAAAGCGATAGCTTCCTGACCTGTCTGTCAACAGTGGTAATCACATGAAATTCTCCGGCCATTTCTAGAACTATAGTTAAAAATAAAACATCTAATGGGAACTTATTTGTTGGTAATATTATTAATTAATAAAGTATGATCTATATTATGAGTTATTATTTGTTGATACAAATTATGTAAAAAAAAACAATTTAAAGTAGCCTAGCAAAACTATACAAATCACTAAATTATTTCTTAATTTTTATCAGCATCTAGAAGCCGGAATGTCTAACAGTAATCACATGACATTAAGGAATATCTCCCCTTTCATCCTTCATTCCAATCACGTGCAATTCATATGATATTTTCCCACCATTCCAAAAGTTCTACTCATTATGATAGTGGCAGACAATACTAGCAGTGAACTAGATAAAACGAAGGAAAAAAATGCTGTGAAATAGTAAGATTCGGAACTATTTCACTATAAACGATCTTCATCATGGTATGCAATGATGAGCCATTCTTGACATCTTCTTTAATTTTATTGTCATGAATCATGATAGACAAATAACTACATGTACTGTGAGGACCACTGTTTATTTCACAGTTAATAAATTTGTTATTAGTTATCAGAAACAATTTAAATAAAAAATTCAATAGGCTAATTAGGTATTGTTCTAGTTTGTGATCTTGCAATATCAGCACGCATTGAAAACAGATTGAAGAGGGGCCTTCGCGACGTACTGTGTTCTCCGATTCTATGATTTTGATCAGCATGCAATTGGTTTATTCCCTATTCCAATCAAAAGTTATATCAGGTGGACTGTTGTACATTAAGGGGTGAGGCTACCCGAAAAATGCTTTCTGAAATTCTAAAGCTAGTGAATTGAAGATGGCACAAGTAGTTAGGAAATGTAATAAACAAGGGAAAACTAACATTAAAAATAAAGAAAAAAAAGTTGTTGCCAGGGTAACACATTGTTTTGGAAAAAGTATGAAAAATGTAAGTACACCATATCTCTGGCACTAATAAAGATAATTGTCTCATTTTCGGACTGCTTATTCTTTAATGATGACCCTAAAACCAGACAAAGAGTTTTTCTCTATAATCTTTATAGTTTCTTGGAAAATGGTGTTTAAAACATTTGCCTCACCACAATATTTTGTCTTTGGAGAAATATTTTGATAACTTTTGAAATATTAATGATAATTCAAATTGCTTTCTGTCTGATTCTGTAGTAGATATTAGTTTATATATCCTGCAAATTTGGCAAAGGTATCTTAATTAGTTACAGAGATATAGTGTACCTACGTTTTTCATAATTTTTTCCCAAAGAATGTGTTACCATGGCAAGAACTTTTTTTAATACTAGTGTTCCCTTGTTTATTACATTTCCTAACTACTTGTACAATTTTTAATTCAATAGCTTTATCATTTCAGAATAAAAATTTTCGGATAGCCTCCCACCTTAATGTCTGTCTGCACATGCGCAGAAATGGTATTCTCAAAAATCGCATTGAGAGACCCGAGCTCTAAACAGTGTCTGAATAAGGATTTAAAAAATAAAGGAGACTGGTAAGGATTTTGTACTGTTTATTCTTTTCTTTTTACGGCCCCTACGAGAGTCTTGTATTACAGGTACCCCTAAATAGCAACGCGCAAGGCAACCAAAAGATAAAACTTTCATTTCGGTTGCCGTGCAGGTGGCTATTTAGATAAAGGAAACCGGTAAAGATTCTGTATTGTTTATTCTTTCCTTTCTACGGCCACGAAGAGAGTCTTGTATTACCGGTACGTCTAAACAGCAACAACCACGGCAACCGAAATAAAACTTTTATTTTGGATGCTGTGCACATGACTATTTAGATGCACTCTGTGTCAAGCAAAATAATGATTTGTTCACAACTTGGATAACATTTTAAAGGTATTTACCAAGTCGTTTTGAACAGATATCGGCAACTCCAATATCAGCAAAATGCCTGTGTATCGGCAGATGCCGATACCGGTTTCCCCCCGATAGGTCACTTATTGGCCCATTACCGATGTTGAAACCGATTATCAAACCATCACTACTATGCAAGACCTAAATCTGCTTATTGCAGGCCTTCTTTTGGCTTCAAATGTTATATAAAACTATTATTTAGACATGTATTTATTAACATAAGCCGATAATTAACTATCTAGAACATCAGATGGCAGAGATTTAAATGGATTAGGACAATAAAATAGATAATTGAGGCCTACTCTTGATGTCCAGTACTGTTGCTATGAATTATGATAATAAACAATTACTAATAACTTCGCCAAGAATAAAGTATTCATTTGTAAATCTTACATAATGCACAATGCTTTTTGATTTTACACCTTTCCTATAACTGTATATTCATACAAAAAAATATTCTGGTTCTCAGATTATCTTTACCAAATCTCTGATATAGAACTAGAAGGGATGTTTTTTTTGGTTGTTTTTATTTTGTCAAAGGCAAAACATTTATCTCAAGTTGTTTAATATATAGGAATGTGAGATTATCCAGTATTATTCACGATTGTCAGTAACATTTAACAGGGTTGCATATACTTAATAAATGACCTACTGCACATTTCTGGATTCATTCAAATTTTTCTACAGAGCTACTTCCTGTAATTGGGGCCCTTTTGAAGTGACACAGGGTTATCTGAGAAACAGAATATTTTAGTTATGGCCTCTTATAATACAGAGCACATTGTTTTATTTCTGACAGTTACCATGATGTTGTCAGTCAGCATCTTGACATGCTAATTAAAGTTGAAATGATATGTATTTCAGGTTGTTCATTTTAGAAATTATTTTAATATTAGATAATGAATGGCTGTACTTTTCCTTTAATTCTGCTCCGAGACCTCAAGCATCATTTATTTTTAGTTATTTAAACATAAATGACATAAAACAAATATGACCTTACCTGCAATTGTAAAAGTTGTAGATAATCACGTATTATCCAAAATGTTACATGGATAGTCATAAAAAAATATGGATTGATACTAAAAAATTCGTGAAAACACCAAGCTCCCCACAAACCAAGAGGAAAGCAATCTACTGATGGTTCCATTATGACTGTTACTATAGTTAATGCATTAATACGTAATCGCATCCACCTATAATATAAAGTATTTATTATTATTAATGACACAACAAGTAAGATCATTCATATTTATGTAGTTAGTAAAACCCATAGAAACCAATTTTACCTTAAAGTGTATGGTCTTAATTTTCTGGCATGTTTGGACTTTAACATAAAATATGTTGTATACAATGTAGTATATTCACTGAATGTCACATTTAAAAGTAAATTAACTAGAAAAAGATCAACCATACCAAGGTAACCCCATCTCAGTGTTCAGAGTATAATAGTCATGCCTAAAATAACTGGAGCTCACATAAATATTTCTATTCGTACAGTATATTTTCAAGTTTTACATCAGGGGAGTATCTAGGGCCAATTTAGCTCTTGAAAACTTATTGGTGCCCATATTATTTTACGTCCACATTCTATGCGGACAAAATCGTAAAATCAGAATGTAGACCCAGTTAGATGAATCCAAAACCGAAGATATTGTTAGTTAAATTTAAATCTTCATTGAATATAATCCTTTGGTAGAACACCGAATACACCACGAAGCAGTCATTAATAATATATTTTTCCGAAAGAATCTACAATGTCAATGACGTGATATCGTTAGGTCAATAAACCAGCCATGCTAGCTTTAGTTTCAAACACTTTGACTATTCGTGCTATCCAATGCTTTTTTTCATAACTGTGTTATTTTGAAATGGCTCCTCTTTCTTATAAAGGGTTAAATGAACAATAATTTCCTGCAAATAAGGCTTGAAACTTAACAGATTTGTAGCTTTTAAACCATAAAACTGTTTTATTACTTTTAAACAGTCGTAAGGAACACAGTTCAAATATTAGACGAATACCGTGGCCATGGCAAGCTCCCAATCGTTTTCTTTTCCGATGATTAGAGCTGTAGCTATTATGCGCATTCACGCAGTATACAGGTGGTCTTTGTTTTATTTGTCTGCTAAATTTAGATAGCCATAACTGGCCAAATCTTACTTTAGTATTCCAGCCACCTTGGTACCATCGGAGTGTGTGTTTTCCGCAGCGGGAAATATAGTTACCACCAAAAGGTCAAATCTGGATCCTAACATGGTCGACCATCTAATATTCTTACGTGAAGTTTTAAAAAATAAAAAATTATAGCTAGTTTGGGCCAGTAATCAATAAAAACTTGTTTGAACAGTTCATATGTGTTTCCTGCATATGGTGACATTTATTACAGCTTCTTATATAAAACTTTTTGTGGTAAAGTTTTTCTCGCGACGGTTTGATTATTTTGAGCCGACCCCTGTCTTTGCAATGTGGGCATTTTCTTACTCAGTCACAGGTTGTTTTATCGAAATATAAATAAAAGGATTGATCATTTCAAATAAATTGGTTCAGATAAATAAAGTTTAAAAAAACTCAAGAAATGATTTTTCTTGTTATTTAGACAATGTTTCAAAATAAAACGGTTCTGGATATAACAGTTTGACGAAAGCCTCCTCCTCTCTGAAAACGGTCATACTTATTTTTCAAGACGATGGCGTGATCGTTTCATACGTCCAGCTTATTAGTGAAAATGACAATACAGGCTATTAAAAACAATAACATTGCCAAAAGAATGTCTGATAATTCAAATCATCTATTTGAATAATTATCTTATGGTTTAGACGAATTTGTATGCACTTAAAACATCAAAACTAAGTTTTAAATTACACACAAATAGTCTGAATGTATTCAGATAGTGCAGACCAGTAATGGGATTTAAAAAATTTTCTTGTGGGACATTCTACCGAAAATAAAGGGGCATAACAGATTCATACCACAATCAACCAGCGGCTGCCAGGCACGATTACGCCCACATTTTGCAACAAATGGATAGAGAACAAGCTAAAAACAAACGCGATTTTTTGTACAATCAGGGACAAAAATCCAGAGAGTTATGGCCTGAAATGTGCAAATATCAAAAGGGACTGAGATCTTTGGGATATAAAGATATGTTTTAAGTTTCATCAAAATCGGATAAAAATTGTGACCTCTAGAGGGTCCACACTTCTACACAATTTGCATACAAAGAGCATCCATTTTGTCGGGCAGATTCATTTTGATTTTACCGAAATACGACTTAATCTTCATTATGGTGGAATGGTGATGCATTAAACGGTTTTTAAAATTGGAAAAAAATTGTGACCTCTAGAGAATCCGCAAGCTAAAAATGTGATTTTTCAACAATCAGGAGCCATAATCTAGGAAGTTAAGTTCGGGTATCCACGATTATCAAAAGGAACCAAGATCTTAGTGTGCAATGGTGATATATTCACTTTTCATCGAAATCAATCGAAATTGTGACCTCTAGATGGTCCACAACCTTGATTGTGACCTCTACAGGGACCACAAGCTAAAACGTGATTTTTTGTTCAATCAAGGGCCATAATTCAGGAAGTTACGATCCGATATGTGCAAATATCGACAGGAACCAATTTCTTTGGATTATAAACCAAGTTTCATCGAAATCGGATCAAAATTGTGCTCCACAACCTTGCTTGATTTACTAGATGTTTACACTATTTGTGTACGAGGGGCGGCCATTTTGTCTGGCAATTTTGGTCCGATTTTCATGAAACTCAACCTCAGACAAAATTAGAGTGCAACAGTGATATATTCAAACGTTTTTTTTAAATCTGATAATAATTGTGACCTCTAGAGGGACAAGCTAAAAACGTGATTTTTAGTAAAATCAGCGGCCATAATTTGGGAAGTTACGATTCGATATGCATGAAAATAGAAAGGAACCAAGATATTTGGGTTATAAACATGCATTTCAAGTTTCATCAAAATCAGATGAAAATAATGACCTCCAGAGGGTCCACAACCCTGATGCGCAATATTTTGACACGATTTGCGAACGAGGGGTGGCCATTTTGTCCGTCAGTTTCGGTCCGATTTCTACGAAATTCAAACTCAATCATCCTTAGGGTGTCACGGTGTTATGTTCACACTTTTTTTTAAACCGGATAAAAATTGTGACCTCTATGGGGTCCACAAGCTAAAAACAAGATTTTTCATACAATCAGCGGCCATAATTCAGGAAGTTATGGTCCGATATGCGCAAATATCAAAAGGAACCGAGAACTGTGGGTTATAAAGATACATTTCAAGTTTAAACCAAATTGGTTTAAAATTGTGACCTCTACAGTGTTCACAAGCTAAAAATGTGTTTTTTGGTACAATCAGGGGACATAATCCATGAAGTTACGGTCCGATACATGCCAATATCAAAAGGAACCAAGATCTTGGGGAGATAAACCTATATTTCAAGTTTCGTTGAAATCGGATAAGAATTGTGACCTGTAGAGTGTTCACAAACAATTGTGGATGGACGGACAGGGGCTATGACAATATACGTCCAGATGAAAATGTGGGCGTATAAAAATCACGTGTCAACAAAATATTCAAATCCTGCACGTAATAAAAATAGGTGAACCTCGCTATTTTTCATATTTCATTCCTGTACGACATTCAAATTTATGACAGTAACAATCCTACAACGTAAATCATTTTCGTAATACATTGAATGAAAGCTTGCCGATCCTGCTTCAGCATCAAATTCACAATAGTAGGCCTAATATTCCTGCAAAATTATGTGTCTTTGTTTATACAGCAGTAAATGAATGCAGAACTTCCCAGGGATGTGCCTAGAAAAATATTCATGCCGGGCGGTAATCATCGGCAGAAAATTATCGTTTTTTTTTTTTTTTTTCGATCGAAAATGAGCAATTTCATGAGTCCAGGGGTCAAAATTCACGACGGCACCGCACCGTAGTATTTAGCGAAATTACCGTAGAATATAAATAAATAAGAACTACGGGCGACATCTTTAGCCGTGGTAATTTATTTAAGAATATGACGACGGCAATTTGCTAATGTTGACACTGAAACCACCGTTGTATACCTGCGTAATCCACGGCATAATCGAAAATAGGAATTTATTAATTATTGTTTTGTTTCTTTCCTGAGTTCTCGTGACTATATTTTTCTATCGAAAACACAAGTCGGCATTCATTCAGTTGTACCATGGAACGTCTACTCAGATGGTTGGAAGTCAGGTAGCACTAGCAGCCAATTTTATAACAATTATGAATTTCACACTGACCATCTACACATGTTTTCACCGGTTTGTCACTAGTTTATAGCATTATGAAGTATTTATATCTCAATAAATAAAATACGTATTCCCCCAAGTCATCTGACCCAATTCTACCATAACGTCACATGCTGGGAATGGAATGGAGATGCACACGGCTCGTTGACTGGTTTATTTAATCATTTAAAAAGTTCAAAACAATTTCCAGAAATAACGGCTATGAATAATTTACTGGAAAATATGATCAAATCAAATAATTAGGTCGGGAAAATATATCATATAAATATAATATAATTTTTAGCGTGACGTTAGAAAAGAATTCCAGGGGGCGTTACATGTCCGCCGCACGAAGTCCATGTAATATAATGTCATGCACATGTGTGAAATCGTCTTTTAATAATCAAATTACAGTATTACGGATACCGGTATTTTATAATCGGAATTCAACACCTCAACAGCGAAGTATTCATTTAAAACGCAAAGTTTGGTACCATGATACTTATATTTGGTGGAATTTACGTGGATACGGATTATAGAATTGCACGAATCTATAAAAATAGTTTAAATAGCAAAAATAGTCGTCTGCTAGTGCTATTTTTAAACAATAACGGTGCAGTAGGCTTGTTTAACCAGTCATGCTAGTTACATCGCACTGATGTGACCAGTTAAAAGAGTCTTAATATCAGATAACTCTGCGCATCAAATAAGAAATCGAAAGTAATATATTTTGTCAAAAACGAATGTTATATTTAGATGTCTATGATACGAGGTCAGTTTGACACGAGTCAAAATAATTTATTCAATTTATGAGGTTAAAAGCAACAAATAAAAACGCTTTTACCAATTTAGATTATCTTTTTTTACAAGAAAATGGAGGTGGGTGGAAATCTGCTTCAAGATATTTTTGCCGGGCCGACAATATTGGTGCCGGGCGGTGCCGCACGCTAATTGTAATAGTAGGCACATCCCTAACTTACTGAATAAGAATCGTTTTCTTCTTTATAAAATGTCAACAAAATATTCAAATCCGTACGTAATAAAAATAGAAACACCTCGCTATTTTTCAAATTTAGTTCCCGTATGGTATTCAAATTTATGCCAGTAATATTCCTATAAAATGATCAAGGGCCATAACTCTGACAGTAATTATCGGAAATCGCAGAAAATCAATAGTCTTCTTCGTCTCATGACCTTAAACACTGTGTATAAATTTAAAGTCAATCAGATATTAACTTTGGCCTCTAGAGCGTCCACAAGATTTTTCGAAGTGGTCAAGAGCCATAACTCTGGCAGTAATTATCGGAAATCGCTGAAAATCAATAGGCTTCTTCGTCTCAAGACCTTAAACACTGTGTATAAATTAAAGTCAATCAGATATTAACTTGAGCCTCTAGAGCATCCACAAGCAATTGTGGACGCCGGACCGACTCATAGCACATAGCTTCATCGTTAGCACTGCCTTGTAAATGATTTTCGATCGGCAATCGGGATCACGGAAAAGAAAAAGAAAATTTCCGACAAGTCAATGTAGAAACCACGAGGTAAACACATAGATTAAAATTATAATCATTCTTATTGGATTGATGAATAGTCCGACAAAGGGGAAGCAATGACTTCTGCTTAAGATTAGATTGATGAATTGTTCGATAAAAAATTAAGTCAGTCAATCATGGCAAATTAAGCAGTTAATTAAGGTAAGTGTATAGACAGTATAGCACAATAAATACATTGATCTTTTAATTAGCTAATCAATCCAGCCTATTATTAATGATAATCTGGTAGGTGTATAGACTGTATAGACGGTATAACACGATAAATACGTTGATCGCTTAATTACCTAATCAATCCAGCCTATTATTAACGATAATCGGGTTGAGTGGTAGTTATACACTCAGTACACTATATTTATTTTGGAATTTTGAATATTATTCACCATATCTTGATGTCTGATTGGGCATATTCCTGGTCGGACATTTTTGGACGGTCGGAAAAAAGGGTTAGACACGTCCGGAATATACAGGCGAAATCCCATCACTGGTGGAGACGGATAGCTGAATACTAAAATGTATGTTCAATTTTAACAAGCCAACAGTGAGACTGATTTCCCCTGCCAAATTCCCAAAATAAATAGATAAAACAATATTAATTAATCGCACATTTATATTTTTCAAAAGTATCATGCAATCAAACTGATTATCAACTATACACTAAGTTTCATCACTCTCTATCAGATAGAATCAAAGTTATCTTGTCCCAAAGCATCAACCAATTGTACTTCAATTAGAAGAGTTATTGTGTTCCAAAGTCTTGACCAATCAAATAGCTTAAGGCTCTGCTTACCCCGAGCAGAAAATGCTCATTATCGCACTTATTCAAGGTATTAAGGTGATAAAACTATACAGAAAGTGTCCTCACTCTCACTTAATTAGAACTAAAGTTATCGTGTCACAAATCATCAACCAATCAAATTGCTCATCTCTGCTTACCCTAAGCAAAAAATGCTCAAGGCATTCACCTCATAAACACCTACGACAAGTGTAAACATTCTAGCTCAATTAGAATGATAGTTATTTTGTTCCAAAATCTAGACAAATCAAAATGCTTATCGCTCTGCTTAGCCCGAGCAGAAAATGCTCATTATTGAACTTAGTCAAGGTATTGATGTGATAAAACTATACACCAAGTGTCCTCACTCTCACTTAATTACAACTAAAGTTATCGTGTCCCAAAGCATCAATCACTCAAATTGCTTATCTTTGCTTACCCTAAGCAGAAAATTTTCATCTTTGAACTCCATCTAAGCATTGACCTAATAAAACCTTTAACAAGTTTGAACATTCTAGCTCAATTAGAAGGAGAGTTATTGTGTCCCAAAAAGTGTGACGGACAGACAGACAGACGGGCAGACAGACAGACGGACGAACCCATTTTAATATTGTCGTATTATCGAAGACTATAATATGGTATAATCGGACAGAGTTTTTTTTAAAGCAAATTCAATTATGGTTGTCAAGTGATCAATATGCCGTTGGTCTATCATTAACGAATGAATAAAAACTGTTGCAAGTTATGTGATAGACAACCAGCGGTTGCCATGCAAGATACACCCACATTTTGCAAGAGGTAAATAGAGAAGAAGCTATAAAAATCAATCATTTTTCATACAATCCTGGGCCATAATTCAGTAAGTTAGAAAAATCAATAAAGGTGTTTGAAGTATAAATGGGTTTATTAAATGAGTAAAAGGCACCATTCTGACTGTACCAGTTCATGTTATGTAAACATTGCAAACGCTACCAAGCCAATGATCTATGCCATAAAGGTCAGTCATTTTAAACAGAGTTATAAGAAGAAGGCTTTCGCAATACCTCTGTGAAACAGACTGACATCAAGCCTAAAATAGCATTCCCTTCAAAATGACATTTCATTGATTCGCGCAATTCTTTATATCCAATGAGAGAGCAGTAAAAAGTTTCTGCTTGTTGAGCGCATGGTTGAAGTTGTCATCATGAAAATGAAGCGTGCAGGACAATCTGTGAAAGTCTCTCTCAAATCTCATTTAAATACACTACTATCTATACCTTAAATCGATCTCGACGCTATTTCTACTCTAGCAATGTTCAAGTTACCCAGGTGCTCCATGGCAAACTGACCCCCCGCTCACCCAGCTTTGTTTAAATATTTGGGATCAGTACCTCTCCCAAATTTCTATATACACCCCTGTACATAGACATTACATGAAGCCATGTTATAGCTCACAACCGACTGTACGTGTTTTGACACGAAGAGATCATAGGGTTTGGTAGTTTGCAGACTAGCAGTAAGAAACCGGGTGAAAATTTTGTATGTACCGGACCAAAAGTCTCTCTGCCAGTATGCGATCTACTCCAGTGCCACGGACATGCAAGTGACGCATAAGTCTCACGCATGGGTTTACTAAAAATTTCCCCCCATACACTGTCCATAGTAGTACGTACAGCGGGTTGTGAGCTAGGCTTAATATATAAATACCAGATTTGACTTACCTCACCATTCTACTAATAAAACCTTTTACCGTTGGACAGGCAACATTTTGTTGAGCAGGATATGAGGATAATACTAACTTATAACCTCTTAATAGAAAAAAAAATTAAAAAAAGGAGTTTTATTAGTAACTAGGAAAAAGACTTCTCTAAGCTAACTAGCTTCAAAAGTCATCCATGGTGATAGTTCTAAAATCAATCTCAACAAATCCAAATGGGTTAGTTCGAAAACCAGTGGCTGCCAGGCAGGATATGCCCACATTTTGCAAGAGATGGATAGAGAACAAGCTAAAAACAAACGCGATTTTTTGTACAATCAGGGACAATAATCCAGAAAGTTATGGCCTGAAATGTGCAAATATCAAAAGAGACCAAGATCTTTGGGATATAAAGATACGTTTTAAGCTTCATCAAAATCGGATAAAAATTGTGACCTCTAGAGGGTCCACAACCTTCGTATTACACACCTCTACACAATTTGCGCACAAAGAGCTGCTATTTTGTAGGGCACTTTCTTTTCGATTTTCCCGAAATTCGAAATCAACCTTCATTATGGTGGAATGGTGAAGTATTTAAACGTTTTTTAAAATTGGAAAAAAAATTTGACCTCTAGACAATCTGTAAGCTAAAAATGTGATTTTTTGAACAATCAGGGGCCATAATCCAGGAAGTTAAGTTCGGGAATCAGCGATTATCAAACAGGACCAAGATCTTAGTGTGCAATGGTGATATATTCACACTTTTCATCGAAATCAGATCGAAATTGTGACCTCTAGATGGTCCACAACCTTGATTTACCAGATGTTTTCACTTATTTGCATAAGAGGGGCGGCCATTTTATCTGGCAGTTTTGGCCCGATTTTCACGAAATTCGAACTCAACAAACATTAAGGTGTAACGGTGATATATTCAAAGGTTTTTTAAATCGGATAATAATTGTGATCTCTATAGGGACCACAAGCTCAAAACGGGATTTTTCGTTTAATCAAGGGCCATAATTCAGGAAGATACGATCGGATAATAATTGCGACCTCTAGAGGGACCACAAGCTAAAAACACGATTTTTCGTACAATCAGGGGCCATAATTCAGGAAGTTGATTCAATATGTACGAAAATGGAAAGGAACCAAGATATTTGGGTTATAACCATGCATATCAAGTTTCCAGAGGGTCCACAACCCGGATACACAATATTTTGACACTATTTGCAAACGAGGGGCGGCCATTTTGTCCGTCAGTTTAGGCCCGATTTTTACGAAATTCGAACTCAACCATCCTTAGGGTGTAACGGTGACATATTCAAACATTTTTTTAAATTGAATAAAAAATGTGACCTCTATAGGGTCCACAAGCTAAAAATGTGATTTTTCATACAATCAGGGGCCATAATTCAGGAAGTTATGGTCCAATATGCGCGAATATCGAAAGAAACCAAGATCTGTGGGTTATAAATATACATTTCCAGTTTAAACGAAATCGGATAAAAATTGCGACCTCTACAGTGTTCACAAGCTAAAACGTGATTTTTTGTACAATCAGGGGCCATAATCCATGTAGTTAATTTATTTAGCAAAGTTGCTACCGGTATGTGATAGTATAATTGATGATGTGAATAAACAAAGTGATAATGTTTCTATTACAATTCCTGAGAAAAGCAGACACTGCAAACATAAAACTTTGTCAGAAACTTTATGAATTTAGCTTTATATTTATTATGCCATTACTTGATACTTTCCACAACTATAATTTTAGATTTTAAAACTCTTTATATCTATATTATATATATATATATATGTACAAGGTATTATTAAATATTAGATACAACTTGTTTTCTAACACAGATCAAATGACAATTATACTTACGCGCGATGTATGCTGCTTGCTAAAAAAAAATCTTCAGCTAAATACCGTCCATACCAAACCAATCCATTGCATTCATCTAGGACAGTTTTTTTAAACATATAGGACATTCCCGTCATACAACACAAACCAAGAGCATTTAGAGATATGTAATACCTAGCCATTGCACTTCCAAAATATATCTACAAAATCCCAGTTAAAAATCATGTAGCAATTATAGATATTTTAAAACTATTTATGGTTATTTTAAATAATGGCTACAGCTGTACATAGTCAGTTGAAAAATGAAATGTTTATCTTGAATTGTGGAATCTGAAGACTGAGTACATCGACCCGAGATTAAAAAAAAATAATGTTGGATAGATGAACGGAAAATATAGCAGACTCAATCTGGGTCAGTCTCATTTGTCCTTGTTGAACAACAAAAAGCATATCAAGTTTTCAATTTGAATAAATATAAAGATAGTCACGCAAAGCATGGAAATACACCCACACAACAGCAGCTTATATGATTATCCAAAAGGCAAACTTGGATATTCACCAAATTTGATATTTCAGCAAAGTGGGGTAACACTTGAACTGAAACAGAATATCGAAGAAAGATAGAGAGAGAAATGGGGTTTAACGTCCACTTGACACAAACTGGGTCATTTCGGGACTAACACATGGTTCAATTTTATTTCAATAATTTGCTTGCGCCTTGTGGTCTTTAGCAGTTGGAGAAAACCGGAGGACCTAGAGAAAACCAACCAGGTTGGACAGGTGACCTCACTACTTGTCACGTACAACCAGTTGACCCAATGACAGACCTTATGATACAGTGCGCACGTGCTAACCATTCGGTCATCCACCCCCCAGAACATCAAGAAAGATTGATTTCGATAGGGTTCGTGCTCTCATGACCCAAATGCTTCCCAACAAACTTGAAATGTATTTGAAAACTATAGCCTCTAAAGGCCCCGGCACACGAATGTCAATAGGGTTTGTGCTCTCATTATCCCAATGTTTCACATCAAATTTCAAAAGTTTCTGTTAAAAACTGTAGCTTCTATTATGTGCACAAGGTTTTAAGCAAAGGGGGATGACAGTGGCCTCTATCCCATTCACAAGGTTGCTTCAAATGGAATGTTGTTGAGCGCTGTATATCATTAATAGGGTTCAGTCCTTAAAGACCAAACTGTTTCACAATTCATTTGAAAAGAATATGTTAATAATTATAGCCTCTAATGCTTTCACGAGGTTTCAGCCAACAGGTGGGGATGTTACTCAGGAAGGGAGTAACAAGGAACCCCAATGTTTCCTGCCAAATTTGAAAGAAATCTGTTTAAAACTCTGGTCTGTATCGCATTCACAAGGTCTTTGGGAAAGAGAGTTAACTCTAGATGGAAAGTCGCAGAATGCTAAATATTGATATGATTTGTCCTCTAATTTGTTCCAGCAAATTTGAAAAGAATCCTGTTAAAAATTATAGCACCTCACAAGGTTTTTAGCAAAGGGGTATACATGTAACTCTAGTACAGAAGGTCACTGAAGCATAATATTGATAGGGCCGTCCTCTAATGACCCCAATGCTATCCATAAAATTTGAAAAGAATCTGTTGAGACCTGTAGCCTCTATTGCTTGATGTAATAATACGTCCATAATGAAATGTGTGCGTATAAAAAGAAAATAACAAATGAATATTTCACAGCAAAATAATCTAATACCTTTTCAATAGCTGCTCCAAATCCACTTTCATCTGTGACAAAAGGGATCTGATGTACCAACCCTACATCTGGTTTCTGTAATTTAGATACCAAATCTAAAATAACTTCTGTTGAAACTGTAACAATTAAAATATGGATCAGCATCAAAAGTTAAAATTCATATGCAATCCAACAAGACAAAGGTGAGGCTGATGTCCCCCACCACAATCCCCAAATAAATACATAACACTCATTAATTACTTTCACATATATCTTTTTATGACATCTTTTTGTGTGCACATCTTTTATATCAAATTTCTTGCAAACTTTCTAATAATCAAGCTAACAAGCCGCCATATTGTTGTGAACATAAACAAAAAAGGGTAAAACTGGTTTTGATTGGTTCGTAGGATCAAGCTACAATGAAGGGCAGATAATTTGAATATATGTGTATACTCGATGGATGAACCCAGGGTATAATGGAATAGAACAGAATGAGACCACTGGGGATACGGAGGATGACAAGACTTTGAAGACACAGGAAGTTAATTGTTTAAATCATTATAAAATGTTTGCAATGAAGGATATGAGTTAAAAACATTTGGGCTGATTGATTCCCTTTACAGCTCCACATGTTCAGGATATTCTCTTTAAAGCTCGCCATTTTCGGGATATTCTCTTTAAAGCTCGTCATTTTCAGGATATTCTCTTTAAAGATTGCCATGTTCGGAATATTTGACAAGATTAGATATAGGAGAGATAGGTTGCAAGGCAACAAAACATGCGTCCACAGCAGCTAAATCGTCCGAGCGGTCGACAAGGGTTGTTGCATATTTATTCTTTTGTAGGTAATTGGGGGCATTTACAATACAATTTTATTTAGATCAGAATATAATTTTTGTTGTTTGAGGGTTGACAAGGTTCTACGAACAGAAACAAGGGCCTTAACTCTGGAAGTATTTACAGAAAATTTTGAAATTTGATATACATTTTATGCAAATTGTATAACTTTGTCATTCCAACGTTCACAAGGTTCACAAAGTAAAACAAGGGCCATAACTCTAGAAATAACTGACGGAAATTGCTGAAATTCAATAGACCTCCATTTCTTAAATTGAAATGATGCATATAAATTTCATATATCTGATGATAACTTTCATCAATCGAGCATTAACAAGGTTGAACAAAGTAATTAATTGTAAATTGCTGAAATTCAATAGGATTGTGGTTTCACTTATCTAAATGATGCATATAATTTATAAATTTCATACAGATCGGCTGATAACTTTTGGCGTTAGCAAATAGAGTGTTCGCAAGGTTGAACAAAGTGAAACAAGGGCCATAACTCTAGAGGTAATTAACGGAAATTGCTGAGATTCGATAGGCTTCTTTGTTTCACTAATCTAAATAATGCATATAAATTTCAGAAAGATCGGATGATAATTTTGGCATTAGAAAATTCACAAGGTACAACAAGTGAAACAAGGGCCATGAGTCTAGACTTAATAAAAGGAAATTGCTGAAATTCAATAGGATTCTTCTTTTTACTAATTTAAATGACGCATATAAATTTCATACAGATCGGCAGATAACTTTAGTTGTTAGAGCGTTCACAAGGTGCAACAAAGTGAAATAAGGGCCTTAACTGTAGAAGTAATAAACAGAAATTGCTAAAATTTAATAGAATTCTTCTTTTTACTAATTTAAATGACATATATCAATTTCATACAGATCGCCAGATAACTTTTAATGTTAGGTGCAACAAAATGAAACAAGGGCCATAACTCTAAAGTTAATTAACGGAAATTGCTGAGATTTGATAGGCTTCTTTGTTTCACCAATTTAAATAATGCATATAAATTTCAGAAAGATCGGATGATAATTTTGACATTATAACATTCACAAGGTACAACGAGTGAAACAAAGGCCATCACTCTAGACGTAATAGAAGTAAATTGCTGAAATTCAATAGGATTCTTCTTTTTACTAATTTAAATGACGCATATAATTTCATACAGATCGGCATATAACTTTAGTTGTTAGAACATTCACAAGGTGCAACAAAGTGAAACAAGGGCCATAACTGTAGAAGTAATAAAATGAAATTGCTAAAATTCAATAGGATTCTTCTTTTTAGTAATTTTAAAGACACATATCAATTTCATACAGATCGCCAGATAACTTTTGATGTTAGAGCATTCACAAGGTGAGACAAAATGAAACAAGGACCATAACTCTAGAGGTAATTAATGGAAATTGCTGAGATTCGATAGGCTTCTTTGTTTCACCAATTTAAATAATGCATATAATTTTCAGAAAGATTGGATGATAATTTTGGCATTATAATATTCAGAAGGTACAAGAAGTGAAACAAGGGCCATCACTCTAGACGTAATAAAAGGATATTGCTGAAATTCAATAGAATTATTCTTTTTACTAATTTAAATGACGCATATAAATTTCATACAGATCGGTAGATAACTTTAGTTGTTAGAGCGTTCACAAGGTGCAACAAAGTGAAACAAGGGCCATAACTGTAGAAGTAATAAACGGAAATTGCTCAAATTCAATAGGATTCTTCTTTTTACTAATTTAAATGACACATATCAATTTCATTCAGATCGCCAGATAACTTTTAATGTTAGGTGCAACAAAATGAAACAAGGGCCATAACTCTAAAGTTAATTAACGGAAATTGCTGAGATTTGATAGGCTTCTTTGTTTCACCAATTTAAATAATGCATATAAATTTCAGAAAGATCGGATGATAATTTTGACATTATAACATTCACAAGGTACAAGCGAAACAAGGACCATGACTCTAGACGTAATAAAAGGAAATTGTTGAAATTCAATAGGATTCTTATTTTTACTAATTTAAATGACGTATATAAATTTCATACAGATCCGAAGGTAACTTTAGTTGTTAGAGCGTTCACAAGGTGCAACAAAGTGAAAAAAGGGCAATAATTGTAGAAGTAATAAACGGAAATTGCTAAAATTCAATAGGATTCTTCTTTTTACAAATTTAAATGACACATATCAATTTCATACAGATCGTCAGATAACTTTTGATGTTAGAGCATTCACAAGGTGCAACAAAATGAAACAAGGGCCATAACTCTAGAGGTAATTAACGGAAATTGCCGAGATTCGATAGGCTTCTTTTTTTAACCAATTCAAATAATGCATATAAATTTCAGAAAGATCGGATGATAATTTTGGCATTATAACATTCACAAGGTACAGTGTGCGATAATGTCGATAACTGTTTTATATTTGGCGATTTTAATATCGATTTTATGACTTCAACGCAATCATTTCTACACAATGCAATGATACTTTTCGATCTTTATCAAGTAATTCATACTCCAACGCCATTCGGAAACTACAGTAATAATTCACTTTTAGATTTAATTTTAACTAACTGTCCAAACTATTTAAAAGAATCAGGCTGTCTAGATAATTTTTGTAGTGATCATTGTCCTGTGTACTGTCGACTTTCATTTCAGAATCCAAAACTAACATGCTACAGACAAATTATTTGGCACTATAACAACATTAACACTGAGGAACTGTGAAGGGACGTTAGAACTATTAGAAATGAATATATAAACCTAATCAGAAATTGCAAAAAGGAATATTTTGACAAAATCGATAACAAAATCAATAATTGCAATAACTTTGGAAGTAAAAACTGGCGGGGCCTTGTCAACTCATTTATGAAAAAGAATCGTGCTGGCACTAGCAATGAACTACCTCCTCATCAGTAAATGGCACTACATATCACACACCATCCGACAAATGTAACTGCCTTAACGATTTCTTTATAAGCCAATCTAACATAGATTGCAACAATGCACCACTTCCTGCACTAGAAAGAATACCCAACTCTCTATCTAACATTATCCTTAGCCAGAAGGAAGTCGAAGACATCATTACTACTATTGACTCCTCGAAAGCCAATGGACCCGATGACATCAGCGGAAAACTTATATCCAAAGAAATCTCTGAACCTTTATGTAAATTATTTAACCACTCCCTCGTATCGAAAATAGTACCGAATATCTGGAAATTTGCCAATGTAACTGCCATATTAAAAAAAGGTGACCAATCAGACTGCGGAAATTATAGGCCCATATCACTACTTAATATCTTAGTTAAAATATTTGAAAAATGCATTTATAAAAATGTCTTCAACTTTCTAAGGGAGAATTCTGTTCTAACCTCCAGAGCAGCTTTTTGCATGGGGATTCTAGTGTTTACCAACTTACCGATATTGCACACTACTTTTGTCAAGCCTTCGACCAGGGATTCTACACGAGAGCAGTGTTCTGTGACATAAGTAAAGCTTTTGACAGGGTCTGGCATGCTGCGGGGATACGGGGAGACATCCTTCAATAGTTTCACAACTATTTAGAGGGAAGAACACAGTCTGTTGTTACTGGGCGTGTCTCCTCCTCCCCCAAAACCATTCCCTCTGGCGTGCCACAGGGCTCTGTTCTCGGTCCTCTCCTTTTTCTCATTTATATAAATGATATTGTAAGTAATATCACATCAAATGTTCGACTCTTCGCTGACGACACTTCCCTTTACCTTAAAATTGATGAACCTACCAAATGTGCGAATATTCTAAACAATGACCTGGACAAAATTAATTCATGGGCTAAATCATGGCTGGTATCCTTCAACCCACTAAAGACCGAAACACTAGCACTGACAACCAAACAAAATCCTATTTTACCTACCCTTACTCTAAATAGACATAGACTGTTATATAAAGAAACCGGTTTATTACGCTAAAAGAGAGGCACAGAAGACATAAATTCAAACTCATTTATAAAATTATAAACGGTCTTTCTCCATCTTATCTTCATGATTTAATCTTGACAAAAAGCGCACCTTATAATCTTAGAAACAAAAACCTACCTGAATATAAATGTAAAACAAATATTTTCTATAATTCTTTCATACCATCATCAATTAAAGAATGGAAAAAATTAAGTGCAGACACAAAAAATTCATTATCTCTAAATATTTTCAAATCGAAACTAATGGCTCAAGATTCAACACCGCACAAACCAAATCATTCATTCTAAACTGCGTCTCTCTTGCAGCAATCTAAACGGACATAAATTTTTACGTCACATTTCTGACAATCCATCCTGTAAATGTGGACATAAATTTGAAGACATTGAACATTTTTTATTGAATTTCTCCTTATATTCAGACGCCCGAAATAAAACAATAAATAATTTATCGACTATTCATCGAAACACTACTCTAGAGCTAATCAATGGAAATTGCTGAGATTCGATAGGCTTCTTTGTTTCACTAATTTAAATTTGCAATTGCAAATTTTCAAGTTATATTTTTAAAATGTATTAAAATAAAGCCTTAAAATAGATGGTATCCATAAACAGTCCTACCTTGTTAAAGAATACCCCTATAATTCGCTATTGCCAGCTGAGAAATTGGCAAAAATATCATTTTTAACTTCAAATTCCATGTTGTCAATAGCAAAACAGGGGAGGTAATTGTGTTGTTATTTCCTCTGTCATAGATTTTTAAGGGTGGGTGGGAAATAATGCCCATGATCGTATAATAGTGATTTGATAACCTATTGAGCAAATAAAATAGAAATAATTATGTTTTGACTTTCTTAGAAAATTTGAAATTCTCGCTTTAAATAATGAATATAAATTTCAGAAAGATTGGATGATAATTTTGGCATTAGAACATTCATAAGGTACAAGTGAAACAAGGGCCATGACTCTAGACGTAATAAAAGGAAATTGCTGAAATTCGATAGGCTTCTTCGTTTCCCTAATTTAAATATTGCATATAAATTTCACAAAGATCGGATGTTAACTTTTGGCATTAGAGCGTTCACAAGGTTCAACAAAGTGAAACAAGGGCCATAACTCTAGAAGTAATAAACGGAAACTGCTGAAATTCAATAGGCTTCTTCGTTTCGCTAATTTAAATATTGCATATAAATTTCACAAAGATCGGATGTTAACTTTTGGCATTAGAGCGTTCACAAGGTTCAACAAAGTGAAACAAGGGCCATAACTCTAGAAGTAATAAACGGAAACTGCTGAAATTCAATAGGCTTCTTCGTTTCGCTAATTTAAATATTGCATATAACAACTGGATGATAACTTTTGGCGTTAAAACGTTCACAAGAAATTGTGGACGATGCAAGGACGGACGGACCAATGGACGGACGGACGGGGGCGATGGCAATATACTACCACATTTCCATGTGGGCGTATAACAAAATGAAACAAGGGCCATAACTCTAGAATTAATTAACGGTAATTGCTGAAATTCAACAGACTTCATCGTTTCACTAATTTAAATAATACATATAAAATTCACAAAGATCGGATGATAACTTTTGGCGTTAGAGCGGTCACAAAGTTAAACAAAGTGAAACAAGGGCCATAACTCTAGAAGTAATAAACGGAAATTACTGATATTCAATAGGCTTCTTCGTTTCCCTAATTTAAATATTGCATATCGGATATTAACTTTTGGCATAAGAGCGTTCACAAGGTTCAACAAAGTGAAACAAGGACTATAACTGTAGACAGAATAAACGGAAATTATTGTAATTAAATAGGTTTCTTCATCTCACTAATGTAAACAACATATCAATTTTAAAACAACTGAATGATAACTTTTGGCAACATAATGTGTTCGAGTGCCTACATGTGGAATATTTGGTTAATTCAGCGTTTAATCGAGTCTAATGAGCATCGTGTAGAATAGTACCTAGTGTCTAGTAAATCGAGTCAATTGCTTTACAACCTAGCGGATGTGGTGAACATGTGAAAAAAGTGAAGCTGAAAGTGTGTTATGTGATCTGGCAACAGCATACTGTTTTCTACAGCTAACTTATGTTTAACTTTACGTTTGACATTTGACTACCTGTGAACTTTTTATGTAATATGCGATAGTTATTATTGTTGCAGTATTGTGTTTCTTAGACATGTCATGGTTTTTCGAGCGTGTAGTAACGATATGTTGAAAAGGGACTAGACAGCGGTGTCATGTGAATATTTGGTGAAGTGGACATCATCGAACTAGTTTTCGCCAGCTCGCAACCTACAGTAATGGTAATTTTTATTTCAATGGTAAATTTGCATGTTCATTCTGCAAAATAGACACACCTTTAATTCTACTTGTACTAATCCATACATAGTTATAAGCAGCAGCATTATAAGCAGGTGCCATATTATTTACCATAGGGTTGATTATGCCTGCTTGACCACCTGCAAAAAAATAAAACATTTTCATTTAGTAACCAGTGTTGCTATTTCAAAATTTTCTTGTCAGATATTTTTACCGAAAATAAAGAGTCATAACTCTTATCGCTATTTAAAAGCAGGCAGATTCAGAACACAATTAAAAATCAAATGGCAACAAAATATTCAAATCCATAAATAATTATCAGAAAACCATTAGAATTTGGTTTTTATAAAGTTCTGCCTCATGCTTACGTTTACTTAGTATACAAAACTTTTAATATCATGGATTTAGTTGTTCAAGTAATAAAATTCATTGAAAATCAATATACTTGTTCGTCTCATGACCTTAAACACAGTGTATAAATTTAAAGTTAATCGGATATTAAGTTTAGCCTCTAGAGCGTCCACAAGATTTTTCAAAGTGCTAAAAGGCCATAACTCTGGCAGTAATTATCGGAAATCGCTGAAAATCAATAGGCTTCTTCGTTTCATAACCTTAAACACCGTGTATAAATTTAAAGTCAATCGGATATTAACTTTGGCCTTTAGAGCATCCACAAGATTTTTTGAAGTGATCAAGGTCCATAACTCTGGCAGTAATTATCGGAAATCGCTGAAAATCAATAGGCTTCTTCGTCTCATGGTCTTAAACACTGTATATAAATTTAAAGTCAATCGGATATTAACTTTAGCCTTTAGAGCGCCCATTACAATTGGCACTCACTTACAGTATAATTGTATATTTGTGTAATTAATTTAAAATAAACAACCATCACAGCTTTGTGGAAAACTCATTTTAGTTAATGATTGATTCATTCAGAAAATTTGGGGGACAAATTTTTCAGGCAAATAGGCTCAGCCCCCACCCCACCTCCAACTGAGATTAGCCCCCTACACCCATGTAGCCCCTTACCTGTTGTTCAATCTGATTCAGTTTGTTGAATCAAATATTGTTTAAACTATTGTTTTCCCTCCCATCCGAACGACTGGGCATTGTCCTTCCAGCCCACTCCCATCCCGTACCACTGACAGGGGGATACCGCACCGGGGTTGTCCTGTACATGTACATATCAAATCTGTGTAAGTGTAGTAAATGTGAAAATGAAACCAAATGACTGTTAAAGAAATCAAACTTGATGTTTATACATGTAGCGACAGTGATGATGATAACGACCAACTTAAATGACTTTTAAAGTGCAGGGTAACTGTGTAATTTTGATTTTCAATAATTGATTTACTTCAATAAATAGTTTTGGTCTTAATCTATATTTGTAAGCAAATTACACAATTATAGATACGGTTTCAGTTTAAATGTTTTTAATTCGACCTTAAATATCTGAACTAGGTTTAAGGCTACCTGTAGTAAAGATAACGTAGGATCTAATTGAAAGGGTATGTTGGTGTGGGTTTATGTTTTAGTGGAAAAAGTCACGTGGTTTCAATGCGATTTACAAAACTACGGACATAGTCTGGTCTCCATTACTTCATAGACATATTGCTCAACCAATGTCAAACATATCTCCTTGCTCATCAGACTAGGCGCTCAGCCCATGATTTCTGGGTAAACACCCGTTCACCCACCCTTGCAGTTCCCTATGACCCATTAACTATATAAATATTGGGCTTGTGTGCTCACACATGGTCTTGTGCGTCATACAGCATCAGCAGTCAACATGCACCTGAAATACTGTTACCAATTCCAAACATTTGACAGAAAGGGAGATAACTCTCTATTACCGTTAATGGATTTCCAAAATTCTGTATGTTCCATTGTCCATTATGTTTTCTGCATTTTGGTTTAAATCAAAATTTAACCAATAGTGTGTTCTTTGCCTAGGATGAAGGCATCGGGTGTTTTCGCCAACATTTAATTTTATGTCCACTTTATAATTATTAGTATAAATATAGCATTTACTTGACAATTATCAAAATTTTCATCCGGCCCTAAATTGAGTTGGTGCAGACTTTTTGCTTGGAACTATCTGGATTTGTGTTCCTGGGGTTAAAAGTTTTCCAAAAATGTATAGTTTGTTCATTTGGGAGGACCATGTAGCGGAATTGTGTTTCTAAGCAAACTAGACATTTTGGCTGCAGGCCTAAAGATCATAGTGTGTAATAGTGATATATTTACAAGTTTTTTTTTAAATCAGATAAAAATTGTGACCTCTACATGGACCGCAAGCTAAAAACACGATTTGTCGTACAATCAGGGGCCATAATTCCGGAAGTTACGATTCAATATGCATGAAAAGAGAAATGAAACAAGATATTTGGGTTATAAACATGCATTTCAAATTTCATCAAAATCAGATGAAAATTGTGACCTCCAGAGGAATCACAACCCTGATACACAATATTTTGACCCTATTTGCGAACGAGGGGCAGCCATTTGGTCCGTCAGTTTCGGTCCGATTTTTACGAAATTTGAACTCAACCGTCCTTAGGGTGTAACGGTGATATATTCAAACGGGTTTGTAAATCGGATAAAAATTGTGACTTCTATGGGGTCCACAAGCTAAAAACGTGATTTTTCGTAAAATCTGGGGCCATAATTCAGGAAGTTATCTGCGCGATTATCGAAAGGAACCGAGATCGTTAGGTTATAAACATGCATTTCAAGTTTCATCAAAATCAGAAGAAAATTGTGACCTCCAGAGGGTCCACAACCTGGATACTCTATATTTTGACACTATTAGCGAACGAGGGGCGACCGTTTGTCCGTCAGTTTTGGTCCAATTTTTACGAAATTCGAACTCAACCATTCTTAAGGTGCAACGGTGATATATTCACACGTTTTTTTCAATCGGATAAAAATTGTGACCTCTATGGGGTCCACAAGCTAAAAACGTGATTTTTCATACAATCAGGGGCCATAATCCATGAAGTTACTGTCAGACAGGCATCGATATTTCCGCGCACATGCGCACGGCGCCTGCGCCCGGCACTATTTTTTGCCGTCCACCACAAAGAAAAAATCGAAGAAAGCCGCCCAGTCGTATTTAAACCTCTTCGTCCTTCTCTGTACACAAACTGGGCGCTCGAAATTTACAACGGCAATTAAACCATAGAATTGTACTGAATACAATCCATGATTAAACGGCAAAGCCATGGTAAAAGCCGACGTACGCAAACCATGTCTGTCACGGCATAATTTATTTTTGTGTGCCGTAGTAGACCCTATCATCCCAAATTAGTTTAAAGAAAGATGTATAGGTATTTTGTTTATGTATACTTAGAAGATGTGTAGGCCTAGGTCTATTCATTTTACAATTATTCTACGGTCTTTATATTTGTTTATTTGCCGTAAATAGGTCACCCAGACCAAATTACGGCACTCCAATGTTAAAGGTTTGAATGTCGTAATTGTCCAACACGTGCCTGCAAATTTTCACGATGTTTCTTATTTTATTTCTTACCTGTGTTGACCGTGGATTTGCTACGGCCCGAGAGTAGGACTAGGAGGACGATGAGAGCTTTCTCAGTTTCTGCCTGACCTGATTCTCATTCCACCGTAATAATAATAATATTCGTGAGACACGTACAACAACTTTACAAACAATTCAAATAATACAACGTGTTTTAATTATCAATATCTACCTGTTGTCATAATTCGTTGTACTCAAATAAAACACAAACACCGTTTTAAGAATCGTTTTAATTTTTAATCTCAAAGTAATAAAGTAATATTTGAAAAAAAACCAACAAAACAACAAAGGTCCTCAACTTATCTATCCAGAGAAACAGAGTGGGGTGGGACAATTTTATGCTCGGTCGGGTGGTGTCAAAAAGTTTTTAGATCCCTGTATCATTGATGAAAATAAAGTGAATTTGGTAAAATTTGAATATATAAATGGAAATTTAATTTGCACTGAACCAAATACAAAAGGCAGCAGATGCTCTGAAAATACACCAAGAAGGGTTTAATTTTCATAAAAGACCACGCCCCCCTCCCAAAAATTTTTGGGCCTCGCTTCGCTCGCCAAATATATTTTTTACACCACTCACCAAATCCTGCCGCCATCCCTGTGTTTCAATATGACCCTGCACGCACACTCAACTTTTATAGAGCCCTGCTGTCAGATACATGCCAATACCTAGATAGACTGATAAACCTATATTTAAAGTTTCATTATATTCTGATAAAAATTGTGACCAGTAGAGTGTTTACAAACAATTGTGGACGGATGGACGGACATATAAGAAAATAAATTCCTACAATCGATTATGCCGTGGATTATGCAGGTGTACAACAGCAATTTTGCTGAACACTACGGCAATTGCTGCGGGTGTTGTCATGAATTTTGACCCATGCCATTACACTACCAACCTGAGACTATTCAATCCTTACCACCAGACTAGATGCACTAGAGATCAGCCAAAACCTAGACGGCAACATGTGATGATGCGTTGACAAGACAGACTCTTTATCTGGCAACATCTGCAGGATCGCACACTGCCAGTTACTACACTGCTGAGCTGTGCTGACCGTGTTTATTGCATAACAGTAACAGATGCCCTTAATTTGGACCATTTCTGACCCAACACTTTTCCTGATTGGAAGGAGGCAGGGGCTTGAGTTTGGGAAATTAATATTTCAGAACTAGTCTGGCACATTTTATGCAAGAAATTTAAAGGGATTATCGCGGTCAAAACCAAAAACTTTTAATAAAATACTTATAAAATATTAATACTGTACCTATAAACATTCTAGTTTCTACTTTAGGATATCGTTCTTTAAGTTTTTCAACCAGATTAATGGCTGGGTCATCATCATCATGTACACAGAAAAGTAGTTCAAACTGTCAATAAAAACAGAAACAAGCCATCAGTGAGGCTGATATCCCCCGCCGAAATCCCAAAATAAATAGATGACACATATTAATTAATCGTACAATTATTTTTTTCAAACGTATCAAGCAATCAAACTATACACTAAGTTTCATCACACTATTTATCAGATAGACTCAAGATTATCTTGTCCCAAAGCTTAGACCAATGAAATTGATTAGCTCTGCTTAGCTTCAGCTCGTAATGTTAATCATTGAACTCAGTCAAGACATTCACCAAATGAATATCTACATCAAGTTTAAACATTCTACCTCAATTAAAAGCAGAGTTGTTATGTTCCAAAGTCTTGACCAATCAAATTGCTTATCACTCCTTAGCCTAAGCAGAAAATTCTCACCATCAAACTTAGTCAAGGTAGTGATATAATGAATCTATATTCAGAGTTTCAACCCTCTCACTTCATTATAACCAAAGTCATCGTGCCCCAAAGCATCAACCAATCAAATTGCTTATCTCTGCTTACTGTAAGCAGAAAATTCTCATCTTCGAACTCCATGAAGGCATTCACCTAATAGACACCTACACCAAGTGTGAACATTCAGACTCAATTAGAATGAGTTATTGGGTTCCAAAGTCTCGACCAATCAACTTAGTCAAGGTAATGATATAATGAACCTATATTCAGAGTTTCAACGCTCTCACTTCATTATAACCAAAGTCATCGTGCCCCAAAGCATCAACCAATCAAATTGCTTATCTCTGCTCACCCTAAGCAGAAAATGTTCATCTTCGAATTCCAACAAGGCATTGACCTAATAAATACCTACACCAAGTTTAAACATTCTAGCTCAATTAGAAAGAGAGTTATTGTGTCCCAAAAAGTGTGACTGGCAGACGGACAGCCTGACCGATTGACTGACGGACGAACCCATTTTAATAGTCCCCTGCTTTCCAAATCCTAGATAATTGGAAAACTAGTGCTTCAACGAAACATGTGCCCACAGCAGTGAAATCAGTGAGTAGAGCATAAGGGTTGTTGCATTGTGAGTCTTTAGGCAAATAAGGCACCAATGACAAAATAAATAGATGACATTCACACATTCACATTTTTGTAAAGCTTCGAGCAATTAAGCTGAAAATGCCCATGATGAATTTAGTTCAACATAAGTGACAGACAGACCAATTTCAATAGTACCCTGCATTCTTCGAAAGGCAGGGGACAATAAAAGAGACAAGCCAACAGTGAGGCTGATGTCCCCCGCCGAAATCCCAAAATAAATAGATGACACATTAATTAATCGCACATTTATTTTTTTTCAAAAGTTTCGAGCAATCAAACTACACACTCTCTATCAGATAGAATCAAGATTATCTTGTCCCAAAGCATCGACCAATGAAATTGATTAGCTCTGCTTAGCATTAGCTTGAAATGTTAATCATTGAAATTAGTCAAGACATTCACGTAATGAACATCTACATCAGGTTTAAACATTCTACCTCAATTAAAAGCAGAGTTTTTATGTTCCAAAGTCTTGACCAATCAAATTGCTTATCGCTCCTTAGCCCAGGCAGAAAATTCATACAATCGAACTTAGTCAAGGTAATGATATAATGAATCTATTTTCAGAGTTTCATCGCTCTCACTTCATTATAACCAAAGTTATTGTGCCCCTAAAGTATCAACCAATCAGATTGCTTGTCTCTGCCTACCATAAGCAGACAATGTTCATAATCGAACTCCATCAAGGGATTCACATAATGAATGCCTACACCATGTTTGAACATTCTACCTCAATTACAAGGAGAGTTATTGTGTTCCAAAGTCTCGACCAATCAAATTGCTTATCACTCTGCTTACCCTCAGCAGAAAATGTTCATTATCGAACTTAGTCAAGGTATTGATGTAATAAAGCTATACACCAACTGTCCTCACTCTCACTTAATTAAAACTAAAGTTATTGTGTCCCAAATCATCAACCAATCAAATTGCTTATCTCTGCTTACCCTACGCAGAAAATGCTCATCTTCAAACTCCATCAAGGCCTTGACCCAATAAACACCTACACCAAGTTTGAACATTCTAGCTGAATTAGAAGGAGAGTTATTGTGTTCCAAGGTCTCGACCAATCAAATTGCTTATCGCTCTGCTTACCCTGAGCAGAAAATGCTCATTATCGAACTTAGTCAAGGTATTGATGTAATGAAACTATACACCAAGTTTCATCACTCCCACTTAATTAGAACTAAAGTTATCGTGTCCCAAAGCATCAACCAACCAAATTGCTTATCTCCGCTTACCATAAGCAGAAAATGCTCATCTTCGAACTCCATCAAGGTATTCACCTAATAAACACCTACACCAAGTTTAGCTCAATTAGAAAGAGAGTTATTGTGTCCCAAAAAGTGTGACGGACAGACAGACAGACGGCCGGACAGACAGACGAACCCATTTTAATAGTCCCCTGCTTTCTTCAAAAAACATGATTTTTCGTACAATCAGGGGCCATAATTCAGGAAGTTACGGTTCGATATGCGCGAATATCGAAAGGAAGCACAATCTTTGGGTTATAAACTTACATTTCAAGTTTCCACAAAATCGGATAAAAATTGTGACCTCTATAGGGTCCACAACCTTGATATACCATATTTTTACGCTATTTGAGAACGAGGACGGCCATTTTGTCTGTCAGTTTTGGGCCGATTTTCACGAAATTCGAACTCAGCCGTCCTTAGGGTGTAACGGTGATGTAACAATACGTTTTTTTAAATCGGACAAAAATTATGACCTCAAAAGGGTCCACAAGCCAAAATAGCGATTTTTCGTACAATCAAGGGCCATAATTCAGGAAGTTACATTCTGATATGCGCGAATATCAAAAGGAACCAAGATCTTTTGGTTATAAACTTACATTTCAAGCTTCTTCAAAATAGGATTAAAATTTTGACCTCTATAGTGTCCACAACCTTGATATATCATATTTTTACGCTATTTGTGAACGAAGGGCGGCTATTTTGTATGTCAGTTTTGGGCCAATATAGCAAAATGCGTGTTCCGATATGCGCGAATATCGAAAGAAGCCATAAATTTAATTTTTCGTACAATCAGGGGCCATAATCCATGAAGTTACAGTCCGATACATGCCAATATCGAAAGGAACTGAGATCTTAGGGTGATAAACCTATATTTCAAGTTTCATTGAAATCGGATAAAAATTGTGACCTGTAGATTGTTCACAAACAATTGTGGACGGACGGACGGACAGGGGCGACGACAATATATAATTGTCAGATATCCTCTCATCGTCTCATATAACAACTTTTCATCTTCAACGGAATTATCAGTGAAATGAAATTCGATCGTTTGTCTGTTACCGCTCGTTACTTCAGTCAGTTATATAGAAGGACAATTCATGTTTGACGTCACTTCCCGTTTCTTCACGTGCTTGTTAAAAGTCTCCCCCGTAGCAATGATCTCTGTGTTAAAATTATATTTGGGATGTATTTAACGAGCTCTATCACATATTTTATAATGACTGACACCATATTGTCCTTTAAACTAAGCTATAGTACTAACTAAACCATTTTTGTAATTCTTAAACGATTTTTATCAATTATCGAACAATGTTTTGAAAGTAAACTATATGCATACTTTCCAACGCCAAAAACCTTGTTCTAAACGATACCATATCTCCAATGAAACCACCCCCTCATAACAAACTTCAAGTCTGTTCTTACTGCTGTTCAGTGGGGATTTTTATAATATCTACTTCTATGTAAGAGTTAGAACCCATATAGAAAATTCTTCATGGTTTAGAAAGGGCGTAGCCCTTTCTAAACCATGAAGAATTTTCTATATGGGTTCTAACTCACTTAGAACATGATCTCTACTTTCAAAACTTATACAAAATATAGTATGATATTTGTATTATTTATATTTCATAAAATATTTGGGGAAAACTAATTGAAATATGAAATTTGTTAAAGTTGAATAATTTGTAGGTGTGGTCATAGAGTGATTGACAATTGGGTGGAGTCATTCAATGTCACCTGTATAAGTCATGAGATTAAGAGATTAAAGGTGATTACAAGTGATTACAAGTAACTTTTGATCGTTAATGAGTACAACTTTAATCTTATTATGTTCCTTCATTCATTCAGTAGTAATTTTATAGTCACTATAGTAAATGTACTTCAATATGGATGTGCCAGATTTTGCTGTCGACTGGGCATCGTTTCCATCAGATGATGAACTAATTAGCCTATCGCAAGTGATGGATATTCCAACGCAACAACTAGTGGATATGCCATGTGTGACTCGTGATAATAAAGGACGTTTTTCTAGTCCTGTGAAGCAGGCAGATTTAGAAAATATACAAAAATGTTCAGTTCCAATCAAGACCAGAAACAACAACAAATGGGCGTTAAATTTATGGAAGGACTGGGTTGATAATAGGAACTCTAAGCCAGAGACATATTTTGAGAAAGGAAAATTAATTCCTACGGACATTAATACATTAAATGATGAAGAATTACAATTTTGGCTGCAAAGATTTATTGTTGAGATAAGGCGTAAAGATGCGACAAATTATCCACCAAACACTCTTGTTCAAATTGTTTCGGGATTACAAAGGTATATCAAAAATGATTGTAACAGAAATAATGTGCATATTTTGAGAGATGATGATGAGAAATTTAGTACATTCCGCAAAATATTGGATTCCGAAATGAAACGACTGACATCTCTTGGATTTGGAACAAAAGTAAAATCATGTGAACCAGTGCTTCCAGAAGAGGAAAAAGTAATGTGGGATAAGGGTGTTTTTTCTATGAACACAGCAGAAGGACTGAGTAACGCGATATTTTTCTATAATGGAAAAGCCTTTGCATTTAGAGGTATGGAGCAACATAAGTGTGTTGAAGCTGAACAATTTGAAATTTTGACTGATCAAAAAAACAAGAGAAAATTTATAAGATTCACTCCTAGGATACAAAAAAACTCGCAAGGTGGATTAAAACGAAAAAATGTGACAATTACACCAATTGAACACTATGAACAGCCAGATAATGAGCGTTGTTTGGTGAAAATGTATGATTATTATCTATCGCTTATTCCCCGTAAAGGATTTCTATATAAAAAACCACTGACCACAACCGTAACTGATGAAAGTCAACATCCCAGGTTTAGTGCTGCCAATATAACTTTTAATAAACTTTCTCAAATGTTTAAAAAATTTTATCAACAAGCTGGACTTAGTATTGAGGGTCGAACAATATCAAACCACTCTGGTCGGGTAACTTGTTGCACAACTTTGTACAATGATGGTTTTTCGGATAAGGCTGTGACGTCAAGGAGTGCCCATAGAAGCAACGCTGTCCAGAAATACCAAAGAGAGTTATTTTCTATTAAAGATAGTGTTAGCAAGTCTTTGGGGCCGCCTGAAATAAATGACATTAAAACTACCGGTACACAAGAAGATAATGACGAAATTCAGGAAATTAAGAAGTTGAAAACTTGCGTAAACCAAGATGTGCCTTCAAGTGCTAATAACACTCTCGAAATAATAATTCCAGATTGTGTAAATAAAGTAGTTTTGCGAAAAAAAGATAAAACTGTAACGGTTGAAATATAATGCATGTAAATTATATTGTAAATATTAAGATATAACCACAATTAAATTATATTAAATGTTGTTGTCTTTATCCTTTATTTAGCTCACCCTAAATCAGCAGACCGTGTAGTTAGCTTACTGTGTTAATCCCAATTAGCGATCACATACCATGACCTGAGCTGTGGGTGGGGTTTTCTACAGCCAATGGCAAGTACTTAAGATAACTTCATTCTTCATGAAATAGAACAGTGTCACATGGTCATTTTAAAGGTATCTGATTGGAAGAAAAATGAGGTTATGTTCTAAGATAAAGTGAGTCTGTTCAATGCAGCTTAACATCCTAAACGGATTTTTCCTTGTGACTAGTAAGTACTACAATTGGGCCCAATTACCGGTTATTTTTATTTGTTTGTAGGTCAGCTCTGCGGAAGAATAAACACAACCATGCTCTCAAGACTCTGGCCTCCTGTCAAATTATTCTTTATACAAGACAATCCAATTTGTTAGAAATTGTTTGAAATCTTAAGTTTAGAGCATAATCAAATTAATATGTGTGACTGTATGTTAAAATTGGACTACATTATTATTAAACCACATTTCCATATGAATCCAAATAAAAATAAAGAGAGAGGAATCCAAAATCATTTGAATAACATAAACTTGATGGGATCCCAGTCATAATAAACTTGATACAGTAATACCAGTAGCTGGAGTGGTTAAAACAAAGTCATGGGTTTCACAACAATTGGCATTGTGTTTACTGGTTTTAACAACCAAATGCATTACCCTAGAAGTAGAACTCTTTACACAATTTAAATGAAAATTCCCTTACTTTTGAATACTTCAGTTTAAAGTGGCTATCAAGGTTATCTTCTAACAATGGATCTAATCCCATTAATGGTTTTATTATTGAAACACCAGGGGCTTCATCTGTTTCAAGAAGGGGCTCACTTTTACGGTAATAAACGAATTTCCTGAAAATAAAAAGGAATTTTCAACTATTTTTTCACTAAATTCAAGATAGGTTACCAGGCAACAAAACATACGCTCACAGCAGCTAAATCGTCTGTGCGGTCGACAAGGGTTGTCACATATTTATTCTTTTGTGGGTAATTAGTAATAGACAATTTCATACAGATGACATTATAATTTTCGTCGTTTGAGGGTTCACAAGGTTCTAAAAACTAAAATAAGGGCCATAACACTGGAAGTAATCTACAGAAATTGTTGAAATTTGACAGGTATTGTGAGTTTCACTAATTCAAATAATGCATATAAATTCCATACAGATTGGATGATAACTTTTGTCGTTCGAACGTTCACAAGGTTCAACAAAGTAAAACAAGGGCCATAACTCTAGAAGTAATTGACAGAAATTGCTTACATTCAATAGGCTTCATCATTTCACTAATTTAAATGATGCATATGAATTTCATACAGATTGGGTGAAAACTTTTGACGTTCGAGTGTTCACAAGATTCAACAAAATTAAACAAAGGTCATAACTCTAGATATAATTAACGGGAATTTGCTGATACTCAATAGACTTGTTCGTTTTATTAATTTGAACCATACATATAAATTTCATACAGATCGGATAATAACTTTTGTCGTCAGAGCATTCACAAGGTACAACAAAGTGAAACAAGGGCCATAACTCCCGGCGTAATTAACGGAAATTGCTGAAATTCAATAGGATTCTTTGTTTTCCTAATTTATATGATGCATATAAATTTCATACAGATCGTTTGATAAGTTTTGTTGTTAGAGCGTTCACAAGTTTCAACAAAGTGAAACAAGGGCCATAACTCCAGAAGAAATTAACGGAAGTTATTGAAATTCAATAGGCTTCTTCATCTCACTAATGCAAACAACATATATCAATTTCAAAACAATCAGATGATAAATGAAGTCTGTAGAGAGTTCACAAGAAATTGTGGACAATGGACGGACGGACGGCCGGACGGACGGCCAGACGGACGAACGGGATTTTGTGTTTTCAAGTCAGCGCTATGTTCTAGTGGACCAATAGTGAAACTGGATCTGACCCTGTAAATGTCATCTGAGGTATATGTCTACATAGGCAGGAAGGATGATATTTGTACGCTGAAGTTGAATTACATCAGTTTTGGTCAATTCAACCTTGGCCCCCTGTTTAGTCATTCTTATCAGAGATAAAAGGGGATCTTGCATTCTTAAGTTAGTGCTATGTTCTAGTGGACCAAAAGTGAAACTGGATCTGACCCTGTAAATGTGATATAATACAGAAATTTATAACTTACGCATATACAAGAGCTAACACCAATAAACATGTGGTGATTATATATAGCACTAATCCCATAATACCAAAAACTAAAACTATGTAAGACCATGTCTGTGGATCAATTGTGTACATTGTTCTGTAAAAAAAAAAAATATTAAAGTGTAAAAATAGACGATTATATTATAGAAAACATACAAAGTCAGTGCTATCTTGTTAGTGCTTTTACATCCCCAATGCTTCAATTGCTGAGTGTAACGTGCACCAGGTCAAATGTAAAAAAAAACAACCAGCCGCTGCCAGACAGGATACGCCCACATTTTGCAAGAGATGGACAAAGAACAAGCTAAAAACAAACAGGATTTTCTGTACAATCAGGGGCAAAAATCCAGAAAGTTATGGTCTGAAATGTGCAAATATCAAAAGGGACTGAGATCTTTGGGATATAAAGATATGTTTTAAGTTTCATCAAAATCGGATAAAAATTGTGACCTCTAGAGGGTCCACACTCCACAACCTTCATATTGCATACTTTTACACAATTTGCGTACAAAGAGCGGACATTTTGTCAGGCAGTTTCATTTCGATTTTCCCGAAGATAAAGTTCAGAGGTATTTCAAAGATCAGTTGGGTTTAGAAAACATTATTATTGAAAAGACCGCTATTTTAAAGAATGCGCGTAATTCTTTGTTGGTCAAATTGAATAGTTTAAAAGATAAAAACAATATTTTTGATGAAGCCATGAAACTGAGAGATACTTGTGACATACACGTTTCAAACGATTTTTTCTATGCCACGAGTCAAAAGAGGAAAGATTTGATTCCTTATATGCTGTCAGCTAGAGAAAAGGGGCAGCGAGCTGGACTTAAGATTCGACAAATTAGATATAGATGGGACGATTTTCACTCTAGAAGATTTACAGTCACAACAACAACAATGAAATTTAGGTCAGACCTATAAAGTTTGTGCAGTATGTGATAATAACAGCAAAATTATAACTTCTGATTCTTCAGTCAAATATTTTAACGTGGATTTCCTGGAATATTAATGGTCTGAAGATATCAGATTCTGAATTTGTAGAATATTTACACAACTTTGATGTAATTTCGTTAGTTGAGACTTGGTGGAAATGATTTTGAAGTTCATCCCTTTTCCCACAATACAGCAATTTTTCGTGTGTTAGAAGTGGTGGGCGATCTTGGGGTGGTATTTTAGTGTTAATAAAGAAAGAGATATTTGATGGCGTACATTCTTACATGTTTATCAGAATTTCCGTGTTGTAACTTATTGTTAACTGGTGATTTCAGTGCACGCATTGGTAACAGTTCACTGCACGATTTCCTCGGCAATGATTCAACTAAATTTATACCGGGATTTGAAGATGCCATATATGAAGTAGATTCCTTCAAAAGTGAGCAAAAATCGAAAGACCAAGAAGTGAACAACTATGGGTTGAAGCTTTTAGCTTTGTGTGCTTATTTGAATGTGCATGTGGTTAATGGAAGATCACCACTGGACCGTGAAGGAGAATTCACCTGTATTAATAAATACAACGGGGCAAGTCTCGTAGAATTGTTTCATCGCCGTTTTTCAATTCAATACATGATTTTGTTGTTGAACTTAAAACTGATTCAGATCATTTACCTTTAACATTCAAAACCGATTTTAAAACCTTTGTTGAATCGGACGAACAGTCAGGTCGTTATGTAATATTTTATGATAGGTTACGATGGAACAACGGAACAAGTGACATTTTTAAAGAAATATCTAAAAACTTTATTAAATTTTATGATGAATTTAAGGGTTTATTGGCTACTGGTATTGATATTTCCCTTCAGTTTCTTGTATCTTACATTAAGAACTGTGCAGTTCCAAGCCTATAAATAGGAGAGAGACAGAGAGAGAAATGGGGTTTAACGTCCACTCGACACAATCTAGGTCATATATGGTTTTAATTAGCAGTGGGAGGAAGCCAGAGGACCCGGTGAAAACCCACGAGGTAGGACAGGCGACCCTACTCCTTGTCACATACAACCGGGTTTCGAAACCACACCAGTCGACTCAATGACAGACTTTATGATACAGCGCGCGCACGCTAACCATTCGGCCATCCACCCCCCCCTCCTATAAATAGGCCTAACAGACTTAACCACTTTGTTTTGATATTGATTGTCTAGTACTTTAAAACTTGTTAAATATAAGTATTTAAAGGAATTCAGAGATAATAACTATAACAATCCATTAATAAAATATAAAGATGCCAAAAATAAATTCAAGAATATCTGTAAACTGAAAAAGAAAACGTATGATCAAAATATTTATAATGAGCTGTTAGTTAACATAGAAAACAAAGACAATTTTTGGCAAGTATTAAGAAAATTCAGAAAAAGTCACACACTGCTGGTGGTATTAATTCTAGAGAATGGGCAAGCTATTTTGAAGGTCTATTAAATGTGGAAACCCCACACGGCAGTAATGACTCCGCAATATGTCACATGTGACAGTGTTGCTGAATTTAATGAATTAAGTGAAACTTGTGAACATGACTTTATCAATCAACCAATATCAGATTCAGGGGTGGGTCAAATCATAAATCGGTCAACTTGGGGCGACTTGGGCATGAAATTTTTAAATGCAACTTACAATAATTTTATCTTTTCCACCTAAAATATATACAATTAGACAACAATCAAACAATATTTTGAATATATAATGGCTTTTATTGAAAGAAATATCTGACATTTTACCGGTCTACCCAAAATAATTTTGTTATAGACGGAATGAGAAATGATACAAAATTTCAAAAAGATGAATTCATGAAATGCAAATTAATGAATTAATTTAAAATATGCTTCATCTAATGTATGTATATACATTTTTACTAGTTTAAAATATAGTAATTTTAGCTTTTATGTAAAAATATTTAAATTCAATTTCCGTCCGTAACAAAAACGTAATTTCACATTTATCCCCTGGAAATAATATCATACATTAAAAGCTTAAAGGATGACAACCTCTAATTTTTTATCATATTATTATTTAGCAGATTGAAATCAAATTAGTGTAATAAATTTGTAAACACTTAAACATACGCAGTATAAAAGTTTTTTAACTTAATGTTACTGACGGAAAATTGAAGAAATGTTATGGACGGAGTCACTGGATAATGCTGTATATGGACAGGCATGAGGGTTGTCTTCCCTTTAAAGGTCAATGCCTCTAACAAATGCTGAAAGACAGAGGAACTGGAGAGAGAAGCAGCCACATTGTAATGAACGAGCAAACCTGGAAATAAGGCACCTGTCACAGACAATATCAGGCACAGATTCAGGCTTTGTCAGGCACAAAACTTCTGGTGTCTGTCATTTTGTCCGGCATTGATTTGTCTTTTTTATTGATCTTATCAATACATGTCCAGCACTTAGTTGAAAATGTCAGGTACTATTTCATTAGTGCCGGACATTTTGTCAGGTACACCCAAACCTGTTATTTCCAGGCCTGTGAACGAGGGTATGAGAAGAAGGATAGGGAAAGAAAGGCAGCAAAAAGAGCTGAATTAATAAAAGATGAAGAGAAGTATTCTAAATATTTAGAAGCTGACAAAAAAAGAAAGCAAAAGAAGTCTCAGAGTAGGCATTACTTACTGGTATTCAATTAAACACACAAGCTGGTTCTTTTTGTGATAAATCAACACCTGGGCAACCTTTAACGGCTCCGGAATGTACACCAGGACCCTCCTCTTCACCTGTTCAACATGAATCATCAAAAGATATTAGAGAAAATCTAGCACATGCACAACTGTTTACCATCAGACAATGTTCATCATCAAACTCTATCCAGGCATTCACCTAATGAATGGCTACACCAAGTTTGAACATTCTACCTCAATTAGAAGGGGAGTTATTGTGTTCCAAAGTCTCGACCAAACAAATTGCTTATCGCTCTGCTTATCCTCCGCAGAAATTGTTCATTATCGAACTTGGTCAAGGCATTGATGTAATAAAGCTATACAAGTGTCCTCACTCTCACTTAATTAGAAAGAAAGTTATCGTGTCCCAAAGCATCAACCAATAAAATTGCTTATCTCTGCTTACCCTAAGCAGACAATTCTCATCTGTTAACTACATCAAGGCATTCACCTGATAGACACCTACGCCAAGTGTGAACATTCTAACTCAATTAGAATGAGAGTTATTGTGTTCCAACGTCTCAACCAATCCAATTGCTTATCGCTTAACTTACCCTGAGCAGAACATGCTCATTATCGAACTTAGTCAAGGTATTCATCACTCTCACTTAATTAGAACTAAAGTTATCGTGTCCAAAGCATCAACCAATCAAATTGCTTATCTCTGCTTACCCTTAGCAGAAAATACTCAAAGTAATGATACAATGAATCTATATTCCAAGTTTCATCGCTCTCACTTCATTATAACCAAAGTTATCGTGCCCCAAAGCATCAACCAATCAGAATGCTTATCTCTGCTTACAAAAGCAGACAATGTTCATCATCAACTCAATCAAGGCATTCACCTAATGAACGCCTACACCAAGTTTGAACATTCTACCTCAATTAGGAGAGTTATTGAGTTCCAAACTCTCTACCAATCAAATTGCTTATCGCAAGTTACTAAACTCATAGTCCTTCTGTGATGTACTAGCATGTCAATCGATGATGACAATTTAATATTTACACATGCTCAGCCGCTTTATATGTACTTCCTTTCCTCTGATTGTTCTGCGCTTTGCTTGTAAATAATAAATATGTATTTTTCTTGTTTTGAATTACAAAAAATCCCTGCAGTTGTACTATCTTTAATTATAGACTTTGCATATGAATAAAATACCACCTTGGATGGGCCTACGTGTCACCTAAAGAACCCACATGATCATGTGTCACACATGTGCTTTTTATTTTTAGACCCATTTTCATCTATTCTAACACTAAGGTTCCAAAGAAATAGTTTGGGAAGAAAGTAGTTTATTTCTAAATCTAACACGTCTCAGCAGACAGTAAATGTTGATTTGTGTGTGGCGGAAATGGAATAAAACAAGCCAACAATGAGGCTGATGTCCCCAGCCGAAATCCCAAAATAAAAAGATGACACATATTAATGATATTAATCAATCGCACATTTATGTTTTTCAAAAGTATCGAGCAATCAAACTATACACTAAGTTTTATCACTCTCTATCAGATAGAATCAAGATTATCTTGTCCCAAAGCATCAACCAATGAAATTTATTAGCTCTGCTTAGCTTTAGCTCGAAATGTTAAACTCAGTCAAGACATTCACCTAATGAACATCTACATCAAGTTTAAACATTCTACCTCAATTAAAAGCAGAGTTGTTATGTTCCAAAGTCTTGACCAACCAAATTAAATTTTTTTATCGCTCCTTACCCTAAGCTGAAAATTCTCACCATCAAACTTAGTCACGGTAATGATATAATGAATCTATCTTCAGAGTTTCATCGCTCTCACTTCATTATAACCAAAGTTATCGTGCCCCAAAGCATCAACCAATTAGAATGCTTATCTCTGCTTACCTTAAGCAGATAATGTTCATCATCAAACTCAATCAAGGTATTCACCTAATGAACGCCTACACCAAGGCATTGACCTAATAAACACCTACACCAAGTTTGAACATTCTGGCTCAATTAAAAGGAGAGTTATTGTGTTCCAAAGTCTTGGCCAATCAAATTACTTATAGCTCTGCTTACCCTGAGCAGAAAATGCTCATTATCGAACTTAGTCAAGGTATTGATGCAATGAAACTATACACCAAGTTTCATCACTCTCACTTAATTAGAACTAAAAAGGCATTGACCTAATAAACACTACACCAAGTTTGAACATTCTAGTTCAATTAGAAAGAGGGTTAATATGTGTCCCAAAAAGTGTGACGGACAGACGGACGGACGGATCCATTTTAATACAATAATAGTCCCCTGCTTTCTTCCAAACGCAGGTGAACAATAACATTAATCAGTGGTTATCTAAAAAAGAAATGTTGACAGTTTTTGCTCAGTAGGCTTACTCAGTGAATGCAACTGCTATTATGAATGAACCTTACTATCATTTCTAAGGGGGCAATTATAACTTCAGAAAATTTCTATATTTAATTATCTGTACTGATAAAAGGGAAATTTTCTGAATTTGGCGATCTGTGTAATAATTAATATACGAAGCTCACAATTCAGAAAATTTCTGAATTTGGCGATTAGTATAATATTAGTATAGTATAATGTAATCTAATTATATCTCCTACAGGTAGAGTGTAACAGCATGCCGGGTCCCAGGAAGGATCCTTGTGGAATGCCAGACTTTGATGACCCAATGCCGTTGAAAACCACAGATGGTAAACGATCAGAGAGATGGGATTTTATCCATTAGAGGGAGAGAGAGAGAAATGGGGTTTAACGTCCACTCGACACAAACTAGGTCATTTCGGGACTAACATATGGTTTTTAATTTTATTTCAATAATTCGCTTGCGCGTAGGGGTCTTTAGCAGTGGGAGGAAACCGGAGGACCCGGAGAAAACCCACGAGGTTGGACAGGCGACCCTACTCCTTGTCACGTACAACCGGGGATTCGAAACCACACCAGTCGACTCAATGACAGACTTTATAATACAGCGCGCGCACGCTAACCTTAGGCCTAAGGTACCTTTTAAATGGGGTACGCCATAAGTACCAAGACCGATTTATAACTTACCTTCTAGTCTTCGAGAATTTTCTGATCTGTCACATGGAAAAAAATACTGTTCTTTCTAGTATATTCTACTTCAGTGTAGCCTAGGCTCGCATAAAAAAAATTATAGTAACTATGACTAACATACAAATGGACAACTCGTAATTGAACAAAATGAACCTAATTTCATAGTAACATCCAAAGGCAAAGACATCACCCTCGTACAATATTTTAATATGGAATGACGTTGAAAGTGATCAAGGATGTTTCGTTGTTTTTTTTTGGGGGGGGGGGTGTATGGTGTGCTTGAACTGCAGAAAAGTGCAGAAAACTGCAGAAAACTGTATGAGAGAAAACAGGTAAACGATAGACCCCCGACAGCGAAGCCGCGTGTCAGTCAATATGATCATAGAACTAAATATACATGTACACTGGAACGCCAGTGTGCCATTTGGAGCACACTCTGCTCGTCCTCACATGCGCGAAGATGTAAGTACAATGTTTACTTCCGGTAGGCCAAATAACATGGATTTCGAGATTTCGACCACTCGGCAAACCTCGGCAGATTCCGGTACCCTACATCTAGCATCGGCCAATGACGTCTGTACATAAAGTTATAGCTCTATAATGCCAATCTGTTTCACAGAGAATTACGAGTAGTACTATCTCTGTCAAAGATGACTGCCTTAAAACGTGCCGTCACAGCACGCGGGGTCAATCATTGGCTGAATGGCGCGTGCATTGTTTACATAAGACGTTACTGCTTCGGGCGGAATGCTGCCCATTAGTCATTTTAATACACATTTACACTAAATAGGAAATAATTTGTATCTACAAATACGTCAAACGCCTTTATTTATTTTTCCAATACATAAAAAAAATGTTTTAGAATTAAATTATAATTTGTCGCCAATCTGATTAAAATACAGATCTATATTTAATTTCGTTTTTTTTATACTTTCGATGGCCTACACTACATGAAGATCGTACGTAACTAACGTACGAAAATTAAATGGTAACTGGCTTTTTTTTTTCGCACGTATACAGTGAATGGCCATTTTGCTCAGTAATCCCAGCAAGAATTTGGCTATTTTTTTTAAAATTGCGTTAAAGTTTTAAATTTTTGTTTAGAACTGAAATAAATTAACTTTTAGTCAATCCCCACGCTAAAAACATTAACAGAATTGATTGTGTATATCTGAAATAGACACGACCGAAGCACAAAAGAGTGCCAATTTAATATGCCGACGTCAAATCTAGAGTTGAAGATGACGTTATTTTTGTGAAAAATCATTGGAAGAAGCGATAAGACGTTCTGTGCGGATTATACAGTCCTAAAGGCTGCAAGAAGGCTATTGTTTACAATGTAACATTGTGTCTTGTAATGTTGATAATGATCATAATGATGGTGTTTACATTCGTTTGTTGATGTGACCTCATGACCCGTGACGTTTAAATAACGTCATATGGATATCATGGCTATTCACTGTGTCAGTGTCAGAGTCACTTCTCTGCAGGTAGGGTGAGTCTGTCGTTCAGATTGCATGAAGATCTGACAAGTTATAGCGATAGGTCACGTCTGGGGTCAAACGACCGACTTATAACCCTATTACGTCAGACATTTGATTAACCAATCAGCATTGATGTTACTAGTGGATTACCCACAGTTCCGTGAAAAACATGCCTAAAGCTCGTCGTAACAGACCATTCCATTGGCTTATCCCTGACACCATTTAGAACACGTGTTCAATAACAACTCTTCCAGATCCAAGTGTAGTAAAGACAAGTAAAACGAAATTTTGAACTATAAAAACGAAACGAAATAGGATCTGTGTTTTAACCAGATTGATTTGTCGCAGGAAAAAAGTTAATATTTCTAGCTCATTAAGTCGCATCGATGTCATCCTCACCAGTAGTGATTGTAGCGGCCTAGCGAAAATTCACTTCTGATCAGTGTGGCTCTATGCGTTTATACTAACTAGACTCTCTGCGTTTATACTAACTAGACCGTGCGCTCCAATGACGTATAGACATCATTGGGGCCGTCACTGGAGACCGGCCGCCATGTTTCAACCGGGGAAGAATGATGGAAGCGCCCGGATGAACGCTATGTAAATAAAGGGAAATAGACTGACAGAGGCGGACAAGCCCATTAAAAAAGCAGTTCTAATTCCACCCCCCCCCCCTCCAAAAAAAAGATAATTGAAAGGTCTTACCTTACTGTCCTAAAAACAAAATCGTTTTGTGGTCAACTGGTATATTTTGGGGGCTTTATTACACTAAGAATAACTCTATCATAATCATCATCATAATGACAGCTTTGGACATGGTATTAATATTAATGGTATGGTGGGTGTTGAACTAGAACTGACGAAATCATGTTTATTTTATTAAAGATACATTATGGGAGATTTTTATAGAGAGTTGGCCATTCTTGCTATAACAGTTCAAAAGAAGATGATGAAAGAAGAATATATTGAAAAATTCAGTCAAATTACTTTATTCTGAACATAGTTATCATCGTTGTAATATTTGCCTAGAAATGGTAGCGAAATGTGTCTTCACCTTCGCCGATCGTTTGATTGACAGGCGTTAACTCCACCTACATATCTCGATTATCAAGTAAAGTTTTCAATGGCATACGGAAACGCTTTACAGCGAACTCGCTAAGTACACTCTATCATTTAGCCTCGATCTAACTGACGTATTTTCATCAGGTTACCCCTTATTTGATTTAATCAATTAGTGAAATCCTATTTAAATCCGAGCTGTAGCCGAGCCATCCGTGGGTCTACAGAGTTGATTTTGGTCTTGTTGTTTAAATAAAGATCTAATTTATAATTTCTATAACATCTGAAGCCTAAATTAAGACTTGCAATAATCAGATTTAACTCTTGCATAATGCATGTTTAATTGAGCAAAATGAATTTGGCGATCTGTATAATTAATATACGAAGCTCACAACTCAGAAAATTTCTGAATTTGGCGATCTGTATAATAATTAATATACGAAGCTCACAATTAAGAAAATTTCTGAAATTGACGATCTGTATAATATACGAAGCTCACAATTCAGAAAATTTCTGAATTTGGCGATCTGTACAATAATTAATATACGAAGCTCACAATTCAGAAAATTTCTGAATTTGGCGATCTGTACAATAATTAATATACGAAGCTCACATTTCAGAAAACTTCTGAATTTGGCGATCTGTATAATAATTAATATACGAAGCTCACGGGGAACTACGGTGACCTAGGGTTTTCGTCCCATCCAAATGGCTAGACACCTTTCCTTGTAAGGCCCTCCGTCCTGCACAATTAATGGCTCCACTGCACTTACATATTTTAAGGCGGTGTTTGGCGCTTCTTTTATAAGAAAGGTGGAAGGTAAGTGTCTATTAATACGGAGCCAACTGAAAATTAAGAATTAAAAGTCTTTTGGGTTAAGGATACAGCTGGTACCGCAATAAATTTACCTCAAAATGTTAATTTCTATTTATTTAAGGCATAAAGAAAGACCCGCAATAGGTAGATTTAGCTCTTGTCATTCTATTCGTCGTGTGTTCAGTTGTTTGTTGATGGTTTCATGTGGAATAAAAATACCTGTTGCACTCACCATCCCCATTATATGGTTTTCAATTTCCATCATATTATGGTGTCTGATTTTTGTTTGGTTGACAAATATGGCGGCATATTAAATTTAGACAAAAAAAAACAAAAAAAGATTTTCGCAGTATAGCATCGATTTAAAAAAAAAATAGGGCCTAATTTTTTACAAAATTTGATTGGGAATGAAGTTTTCACGACTGTCTTTATTATTATTTTAAAACTAGTTCGGGGTTTTTAAGCGGGTTTTCTGAAGAAAACAAAAGAAGCATAAACTGATATTGCAAGAAACTTTCACTTTAATACACCTGTTTGTTATACTCGGTTTTTAATATTTAATTTTTGGAACTGTGTCTGTACACAGTGTCGGCCTAATTAATTAAATTCGAGGGAATAAAACTAACTGATAACAAAGCAACTACTGGCCAGTTAGTGCATAGTGCATGTCTGTGACTAAAAACTCCACTCCAATAAGCAGACTTACTCCCCGCGATATTTTTCGTACAATGCCAGATGTGTATGTTTATATAATATACGCAATTTCCATAATAATTAAATATACATTAATATAGAAGTTCGCTAAACACACGGACATTGTAGTTATTACATAATAAAAGCATCAGTACTAATAAATTAAGTGAATGGACCCGCCCGGTTTCCGGCCTCAAGCTTCGAGTGTTCGACGTCTTCTCGCCGTGTTTATTAAATTATGTTACACTATTATCATGATACTATATCTATTAGATCACTATTTTACTTATAGCTTATCATACCTACTCATGAAATGATAATCCACCCCCTTTTTGCCTGACATTGAATAAACCAACACAACAATAACTCTCCGGCATGTTGGTATATGGCAACGTAGGCTAATTCTTCCCGGTTGTAAAATGGCCGCCAAGCCCCATAGCGGGCACGTGACCACCATACACTCTAGCCAAGATATATACATCTCTATGACCGCTATCCTAGGTATCCCCAGTGGTTTCATTCCGTTCTACGCAACTAACCCCTGGGTTAATGTTTTGGGGGGTTTTTTGGGAGGGGGGGGGGGGCGTTTTCGGGTTATCCTCCCTTGATGATTGTGATATTTTTATCGACCAATCCCATAAATCGTTAACTGCAAAGGGAGTTAGCAAAGGGAAGTAACTCTCATTGGACAGGGTTAGGAGTTAGCCTAAATCAGAGCCTTATATATATAAGGCTCTGGCCTAAATGAGAGAAGTCCAAATTATTCTAAATGCGTATTTATTAACAACAAATTATATTATTGAGGACCGGACGTTTATGTAGGTTCAAGAGTTTTATTGAGAATCGTTCGATCGTTAGCGGAGTTTTGCGTCCACGTGATATCGTAGACAAGTTACATGTATTCTGAATCAAATTGCAAAGTATAATAATAAACATAACAGAATGAAACATTTCAGACAAAGAACTAATAGTAATAATAACAAAAGTCAAATATACAGATGTTATACATATTTGAAATCAGCGAAATCCACTACAGATTTTGATAATACAATTAAATATAAATGAATTAGAAATATATACATTATTTACATAAATCTTTTAGTAAATGGATATGAATATGGTTATCTACCCTTATAAAAACGAAGGCGAAACGACACGTTTGTAAGCTGTTTTTTAATTGGTTCGTAGACTATAGCTACAATCAAGGCCAGCGCAGATAATTTGAAATCGCGCAAACCCCATGGATTAACCCAAGTTATAGTGGAGTAGAACGGAATGAGTACACTGGGGATGCCGAGGATGTATGACCTCAGTCGTCAGCACCAATGACGTCTATTGGTCAGCGCCTGTGTTTTTAGTCTCGGTCACCCAGAACCCCTTAGCCTGGGTCTGTAGTCTCAACTTACGGAGGCACACTGATCCGCAGTGAATATTCGCTTGGCCGCTACAATCACTGATAAGGATGACATCGATGCGACTTAATGACTACAAAATATTAACTTTTTTTCTTTCGACAAATTAAATTCTGAAACATATTTTTTTAGTATTAGAAAAGTAAATAATGGTGTTTGAAGTATATCTTGATAAAAAAATATTCCATATTTAGCGTAAATAGGTACAGAAAATAGTACACGGAGGCGTAAAATGGGTAAAACGATATAATTTTGCCCGTACCAGTTCATATTACTACGTTCGATGTAAACAACGCACGTGTGACCATCAATTTGACGTTTTTTTCTGTTTGTTTACTCTGAATTCTTTCAGAAGTTCATTTTTTACCGTCTAATCTGATTGACCTGCTCGTGTTTGTTTTAAAACAACAAAAACAAGTCACAGAAGTAATCTTTTTTGGTGTTATCGATGCCACCTTGCTTTGTTGGTAAACATCGTGATGTGACGTCACCCTTAGAACTACAGCGATCTGACCTTTTAAAGGTCAGTCATCTTGGACAGAGATAAAAGACGGATGTCGCATTAGGTCTGTAAAACAGATTGGTACGGAGGGTCTGGGACCATGTCATTATTTGACAAAAAGTTCCATTGCCCATGCGTAACCGGGAGTTTGTTTTTTTATATGGTTGATTATCCAGTATCTTTGGCCAAGTCAACTAATAGTTGCGCCCCTTCCCGCAATAAATCCCACAATTCTTGGCGACGAATTAGGATTAATTTTTAAAAAAAAACCAACATAGATATGGCCCATGAAGAGATAAATTTTACAATAAAAAATTAAGAGTATTGGATATTGAACTGGCAATGAAATAAAATGTCATTCTTAAATTAATTTCATGGGCGTGAACATCTTGTTTTAGGACTAGTTACCTCCCTTAGACTTTGTTTATGATAATGTAAAAAAAAACCCGGATAATCTAGCCAATGACCAATTATTTATAATGTTGATAACGCATCCAGACTAATATTCGTAAAATATTCATGAGGATGATAGAGACTACTGTACGTCTGTTGTCAACATTTGACCAAAAGTTCCATTGCCCATACGTACCGGGAATTTGTTGGGTTTTTTTATGTGGTTGATTATCCAGTAAATTTCGCCATGTCAATACATCCCGTAATTCATACATTATTATCAACAAACATGAATCGTGACGACGAGGATTAATTCAATCTGACTCTACTCTTTACTGGAGAACGCTAGATCGGCGACGGTCCTGCACATTTTAGGACATATGACGTCATATGTGGATTGTGGGTTGGGTACGGGTTAGGACCTGCAGATTGTAAACAGGGCTAGCGCTAACCCTAAGTCCCTATCCCTGGTCCAAGGCTTACCCTAACCCTAACGCACAATCCACATAGGTCCCCCATACCCTCCGTACGGACTCCCTGCTTTGGCGCTCGCGAATGGGCTTCGTCGAGGTTCCCTGCAAGTCCGTTCGTTTGACACTTTATCTCAACGATCAGTGCCTGGAATACTGCCAGGCTTTATTTCCGGCAGATTGTTTTTCAAAATTTCTGGGAGAGGCCCCCACCCCTACTTGAAGCTCGTGCCTTTGCCCCCTTATCCTTGAGCTTTGCCCCAGCTTGGCACCTCCAACCACCGGCGGCTTGTGCCGCCACTGCATGTATTCCCAGTATAATGAAGTACTGTTCTAGATCTTTGGCAGGGAAACCTAGCGATCTTAAGACAATGAATATACTTCGAAATATTTCAACTAAATATTCATTATATGGACAACTAAATAACATATTATGGCAAATTGTTTCAACTTCATTTTTACATAGCGGACAGGGATTATCTTTAGTGTTCAGATATTCGAACAAGAACACTATTCGAATATTGGACAGGTCTTGAAATTTGTATTCGAATACTAATCGAATATTTTCAATTTTTAATATAAATATATTTAATGTGGTTTATATTCAATTTATAATAATTTCTAATTAATTATGAAATACATGTACGTGAAATTTCTGTTGACATGTGAACAATGCTCTTTTAGTTTATCCGAGGTGTGTGAACCTGGAAAGGATTTCACTTCCAGAGTCTTAGCAACCATCTCCCAATCTGGTGACACAAAATGAGCGGTTAAATTAATGCAAGACTCATTTTGTAATTCTGATGTCCATACATCTGTGGTCACAGCGGCTTTCTTCTGAAATGGGTCATTCCTGATTTGACGTTCGTCGGAACGAACGGCATCATAGATTTCTTCCATTTTTTTTGAGTGTTTTATTGAACGGCAAATTGTGTGATGGATTCAGGGCTTCTACCAATTCCCAAAAATGGTCATTGTCAATAAGAGAGAGGCTAATAAAGCTTGGCTACAAACTTGATCAATTTCTCAGTGATGTTTTTAGCTGCGCTGAATCTTGTCATACTTCGTGCTGTTGCCTGAAGAACTTTGTGTAGAACTTTTTAATTGGCTGAATCTTGCCTGACCCTACATCCCGTGCAGAGGAAGTATCTTGAGTTACGTAGCCATGTTTCAACTTCATGTGGTTCCAAAGATTAACCTTGATGTGATATTAGTCGAGACCATGGCGATGTATATATTGTCAATATATACACTATGGTCAAGAGAGCCAACTCCATCGCGGAACTAACTGGCTAATCAAAGTAGGTAACAAGCTACTTACCGTCTCTGAAGACGGTAGATCTACGCAGGGGTAGCACCCTTACAAGCTGCGGTTAGGTAATCTAAGTAAGCTTTGAATGTAAATGTGGCAAGGGAAGTCGACTTTAATAATATTTGAGGACAAATAGAATAAATAATAGATATTCGAATATGGTAATTGCTATTCGAATATTATATTCGACGAGCGAATATTCGAATATTCGTGCCGAACACTAATTATCTTCCGTTTTCTCGATCTTGTAGGGTTGATCTTTCGTGTATACAATGTTATGAATAATTCTGAAATCCAATTCTATCGCATCAGTATCTTTATATGGTAAAAATACATTTTTATAGTTATTTTGACAGAGGGTAAAACCCCTTTCTTGCCAAAATCTCACATTTGCTGGTTTGTTATTGTATATCGTAGCATGTTTTTGGACTAAATTCGGAGAACTTAATTAGTCTACCATTAATGTTAAATTCGACATCAATTTTAATGCATTTCCCTCTTCTAAGTATAAGTGCGGATGATGAAATCAATTCTACCCAATATATGAATAATATATAAGATCTTATCATATAATTGTGTAACTGTTGCGTTTTTTACCTTCGGGAACAGTTCCAAAACCTTTTCTACTATTGTTTCTGTTGTATAGAAGCCCGGAATTATTTCATAGCTAATATCGGCTAATAAGTAGGCCTAATCTCAAAATACTCATTTAATAAAGCGGTCATTGTGGACTCCGGTAAATACCGAACCTCCTCAACTGGCCTACCTCACAAATTAAATTTTCGATAACCAAACGATATAGCTTGCTCACACTGATCAGCAGTGAATATTCGCTAGGCCGCTACAATCACTGATAAGGATGACATCTATGCGACTTAATGAGTCTCAAATATTAACTTTTTTCCACCGACAAATTAAATTCTAAAACATGTTTTTGATGTATTAGCAAAATAAATAAAGACGTTTGACGTATTAGTAGGTATTTATGTCGGCACAAAAAGCAACGAGATTTTATTAAGAGGCCACTCCCGTTAAGTTATGTCCGAGATTTGAGTAAAGAATTTTCGTTCGGCGCAAGATTCAGCGACGGCCACATTTACCGCTTCCAGTGCATCCAAGCGTAATATTTAATTTATATCGGCACAAAAAGCAACGAGATTTTATTAAGAGGCCACTCCCGTTAAGCGGTCAGTTGTGAAAATTCCCTTGGGTGGCTGCTTAATGCAGATTCTACTGTATTTAAAGATTATTTCCTGTATAGTTTAAATTGGTATTAAAATGACTTAAAGGCAGCATTATGTCCGAAGCAGTAACGTCTTATGTAAACAATGCGCGCGCATTCAGCCAATGATTGACGCCGCGTGCTGTGACGGCACGTGTTAAAGGCAGTCATCTTTTACAGAGATATTAGAGAAGACTCGTAATTCTCTGTGAAACAGATTGTAGCTAGCTTAACAGAATAACTAGGTAATTCGAATGCATTCAAATTCGTGTAGTCATGTTTAACCAGCCCCGCTACTTTCTATTTCGTTTCTTACTGGAAAATCGCGCACTTACGGGGTGGACAAACGATAGGCTGACAGTTTTACACGTGTATCAACTAAAACGAAAGTCGTAGGTCACCGAAAGAAATCCAGGACGGTTCCACAAAAGTCATTCCTTTTGCTAAAGAATTGATACAGCAGTCAATTCAATATAAATTTAGAATAGATAATTAATCTGAGACAGCTATTGTGAGGATCAGTGACACTGAAGTCTGAAGATTGAGATACAATTCATCGTCCATCGTGTTTTGTTTACATTTTTATTTTCTTTTATTAACGTGTTGTGTCCGGGTGTAACTCAACTCACTGTGCCCTTGTGGCCGGTTACCTCAATTTCCAGGTGAAAGTGTTTTAAATACATTTCCGAAGAGATATTATTCATTATTTTAGATATGTACCGATAATGCATTTCTTCACACACTCCAGCTTCAACCCAAATCAAAACACAATTATGGTTTTGCCAGAATCATCTTACAATAACTACCAGTACCAGTATAGAGGGAAGCTTTGGCAAAAGAAAAGTTACATGTATTTGAAACAATTTCATGGGCTGTTACACACCGATACTATATTCCTTCAGCTCAGTTTAATATTTATCATTAGTTTAATATTTCTAGGACCATGCGAGGGTTCAAAACTTTACAAGTGCTCAGTGTGTAAAACTATAGCAGATGACTTCTTTAAAGGGATGAAAGAGACAGCCAAATCTAATTATGGTGGGGGTAATACTAACTGGGAGGAGAAATCATTAGGTGCATATGCGAAAAGTGAAATAAGATTAATAGAAGTCATGGAGTATCTTTGTAAAGGGGGTGACAAGGAATGTCATCATATGTTAGAAGAACATGAAGAGCTTATTGAGACATTTTGGTATAAAGAGTTTGGAAAAAATAATAATATAGACCTTCATACATGGTTATGTATAGAAAATATTAAGGCTTGTTGCCCTGGAAATACTTTTGGACCTGAGTGTTCTCCCTGTTTAGGAAGCATAGAGCGGCCATGTACTGGTAATGGAGATTGTGATGGTGGAGGAACACGACAAGGAAAAGGAACATGTAGCTGTCATAGTGGATACACAGGGGAATTATGCAATGAATGCACTGATGGTTATTTTGAGGAAATGAAAAATGATACACACACAGTGTGTACTAATTGTCATGAATCCTGTAAGTTGACATGTTGGGAATCGGGTCCACAGGGGTGTGATGAATGTAAAGATGGATATGAGATAATAGATGAGACTTGTATGGATATAGATGAATGTAAAGTTGATGGAAATAATCCTTGTGATAAAAACAAGATGTGTGTTAATAATGAAGGGTCCTATAGTTGCACTGATATACCCCAAGATGAGAACCATAATGACGCAGAAGATAATGTGGACGGTGAGGATGAAAATAAAACTTACACAGAAGTGGATAATAAAGCTAGTGACAATGAAAATAAGCAGACAGACACTAATGATAAAACTGTATTAACAAATGAAAAAGAAGAATTATAAAAGTAATTTAAATAATAATTCATTGTTTTGTTGAATACACAGAAATAATTCTACAGATAGATCTATCATAAAATATTGATCATTAATAGTATATAAAAATTTGTCTAATTTCATAGTATATAAAAATTTGTCTAATTTCATAGAATAAATTGTTCAATAGATTTGATTATGCTTTGAATAGCTGGGGAACAAATATATTAAATTCAGTCTCAGCTAATGATTTCTGTTCAAATTATAAATATATAAAGATGTCAGTATTATATAAGATTTGTTATAAAGAGTTGGCCGTTATTGCTAGTTTAAATCAGATAATGAACAAGCGGTTACCATGCAAGATACACCCACATTTTGCAAGAGATTTTTTGTACAATCAGGGGCCATAATCCAGGAAGTTACAGTCCGATATGCACAAACCAAAATCTTTTGGATATAAACATATATTTTAAGTTTCATCAAAATCAGATAAAAATTGTGACTTCTAGAGGGTCCACAACCTTGGTATTACATACTTTGCGTACAAGGGGCATTTTGTCGGGCAGTTTCGGTCTGATTTTCACGAAATTCGAACTCTATGCCCATTAGGGGAAGATATGCGCTAATATCGAAAGGAATCTGGATCTTTGGGTTATAACATACATTTCAAGTTTCATCAAAATCCGATAAAAATTGTGACTTCTTAAGAGTGCCCACAAGCTAAAAATGTGATTTTTATACGCCCACATTGAAATTAGTGAAACCACGAAGCCTATTTAATTTCAGCAATTTAGAATAATTACTTCTAGAGTTATGGCCCTTGTTTCACTTTGCTAAACCTTGTTAATGCTCGATTGATGAAAGTTATCATCCGATATGTATGAAATTCATATGCATCATTTAAATTTGTAAAACAGAGGTCTATTGAATTTCAGCAATTTCCGTCAATAATTTCTGGAGTTGTGGCGATTGTGAACCTTGTGAACGTTTGAATGACAAAAGTGATCATGTGATCTGTATGAAATTTATATATGCATTATTTAAATTAGTAAAACGAAAAAGCCTGTCAAATTTCAACAATTTCTGTAGATTACTTCCAGAGTTGAGACCCTTGTTTCAGTTTGTAGAACCTTGTAAACCCTCAAACACAAAATTTATAATCTGATCTGTATGGAACTGTCTTGTAAAGGCCCCCAATTACCTACAAAGGAATAAATATGCGACAACCTTGTCGATCACTCGGACGATTTAGCCGCTGTGGACGTATGGTTTGTTGCCTGGCAACCTATCCTTCTGACAATCAGGGGCCATAATCCATAAAAACCTATTTCGTTTCGTTTTTTGTAGTTCAAAATTTCGTTTTACTTGTCTTTACTACACTAGGATCTGGAAGCGTTGTTATATAACGGGCGTTCTAGTTGATGTGAGGAATTAACCAATAAAACAATCTGTTACTTCTTGGCGTGCTCTGCACGGAACTGTGGGTAAAACCCCTAGAAAGGTTAACGATGATTGATTAATCAATGTCTGACGTCATAGGGTCAAAAGCCGCTCATATGACCCCTGACGCGACACTTTCAGTACAACTGGTCAGATGTAGGCCATCAAAAGTATAAAAGATAGGTTGCCAGTCAGTGAAACATACGCCCACAGCAGCTAAATCGTCGGGGCAGTCAACAAGAGTTGTCGTATATTTTTACTTTTGTCGGTAATGAAACATTTATAATACACTAAAATCTGATTTTAGAGTAACAACTCCTTATGTAATTATCAGACAATCATTAGAATTTGTTTGGCCCATGCTAACATTTATTATACAAAACATTTAATATCATGGATTTAGCTTTTCAAATTATCAAAAACCATTCATAATCAATATACTTGTTCGTTTCAAGACCTTAAACTCTGTGTATCAAGCCAAAGTCAAACGAAACGATTATATATAGGCATAAACACAGTGTTTAAATATAAAATCAATCAGATGATAACTATGGGCATATCATCCACAAAATATTTCAAAGTTATCAAGGGCCATGTCTCTGGCAGTAATTATCAGAAAGCGTTGAAAAGTAATAGGCTTCTTCGTCGAACGGCCTTAAACACCGTTTATAAATTTTAAGTCAATCGGATATTAGCCTCTAGAGCGTCCACAAGATTTTTCAAAGTGTTCAAGGGCCATAACTCTGGCAGTAATTATCGGAAATCGGTGAAATTCAAAAGGCTTCTTCGTCTCATGGCCGTAAACACTATGTATAAATTAAGGGCCGTGTCTCTGGCAGTAATTATCAGAAATCAATAAGCTTCTTCGTCGCATGGCCTTAAACACTGTGTATAAATTTTAAGTCCATCGGATATTAGCTTCAGCTCTAGAGCGTCCACAAGATTGTTCGAAGTGATGAAGGGCCATAACTCTGGCAGTAATTATCGAAAATTGGTGAAAATCAATAGAATTTCTCACCACATGACCTTAAACACTGTTCGAAGTGATAAAGGGCCATAACTCTGGCAGTAATTATCGAAAATTGGTGAAAATCAATAGAATTCCTCACCACATGACCTTAAACACTGTGTCGCAATTGTGGACACGGGACGGACGGAGGCGACGACAATATACGATGTGGGCGTATAAAAAAAACGAAACAAAATATAGATCTGTATTTTAATCAAATTGCATTTCAGTCAAATTCCCTGATTTTGAGCGGAGTTATTAGTCTCAATTGTCAAGTACCATTGTTACGATAATAAACGGAGTCTCGATATGGCTCTTACATAATGCATATAATACTCAAATTTTCATCTGTCCACCAAGTCTTGTTGGCATCGTAGCGGCTACAATAATCCATATATTATATATATGATGTCCCCCGCCCTTTGAAGAAAGCAGGGGACTATTAAAATGAGTTCGTCCCTCTATCTGTCTGTCTGTCTGTCTGAAACTTGGTGTATACTTTCATTACATCATTACCTTGACTTATACTATTCAAAAAAAGTAGGGGATATTTGATTTTTAAGTGTTATTAAAGTCACCTAATGAAACTGACGAAGAAACAAATGACAAAATGAAATGAAGTTCACATTCATCGATTTATTCCAAATGATCGTTAGACTAAGTAAGGCACAGACTGACCATTATAAGGGTAAAATGATACCCGGGGTCAAACAGCAAAGTTACCACAGCATCACAACCAAGTCAGTAACGGGTAAATCCTCCTCTGTTTGCCAAACAAGCATTGATCCGACGTGGCATACTCCTAATGAGACGTCTAAGGTCATTTTGCTCCAGATTGTCCCATTCCTGTTGCAACGCAGCAGCAAGTTCTTGGACATTGGCAGGACGTTGTTGACGTTGACGTAACCTCTGTCCAAGCATGTCCCAGACATGCTCGATGGGGGAGAGGTCGGGACTCAGTGCTGGCCAAGGTAATGTGGTGATGTTCTGTTGTTGGAGGTAACCTGTAACGATCCTGGCCCTGTGACATCTTGCGTTGTCATCCTGGAAGATGAAACGGCGGCCATGACATCGTGCGAACGGCACAACATGGACTGCCAAGATGTTGTCCCGGTAGTACTAGCCTGTAACACGCCCTGCAACAACATGTAAAGCCGTTCTTCCAGCAACAGTGATGCCTCCCCACACCATAACAGAACCACCCCCAAATCGATCATGTCTGATGACGTTAACGTCTTGGAAGCGCTCGTTTCGACGACGCCACACCCTCCTACGTCTGTCCAAAAAATCAACAGTGAACCTTGACTCATCTGAAAACATCACATTGCTCCAGCGTCGATTATCCCAGTGTTGACGATCCCTACACCAACGACGTCTTGCCTGAATGTGATGATCTCTCAAACAAGGGATCACGCGAGGACGTCGGGCGCGAAGGTGACCCCTATGCAGTCGATTCCGAATCGTCTGGCCACTCACTCTCACACCAGTGTCTGTTTGTAGACGAGCGCTGATCTGATTTGCTGTGATGACACGATTTCTCAAGACCAAGGTACGGATAAATCGATCCTGGGCTTGAGTTGTCGCCCTTGGTCGACCTGAGCGTGGTCTGTCCTGTACAGATTGTGTATCACGGTATCTGGACCATAGCCTGCTTATGACAGACTGAGAAACATTCATCGTCCGCGCCACAACCGCCTGTGTTGTGCCGATCTGTAGCATGCCAAGGGCACGTAACCTTTCATTTTGGGTAAGCCGACGCATATCTAAATTTGTTTTCTGGTCACTAAAACAATTAAACTGATGTTTCCACCCTGGAATTCAATGCCACAATGACTGTAACATTCAAAGTCAGAGTCGTGCAAATCTTGGGTTGGACCCCCATGATGATCCCAAGCATCACCTGCATTCCATGCGGTAGCTATTGGTGCGTTTGGGCGTCACATGTAACTGGAAATGTTTCTTCTGTTAGGTTCTATAGTGACTTTTTTCGTAGTCATTTGCATATTTTAGTATTATGCCCCCAAAATCAAATATCCCCTACTTTTTTTTGAATAGTATAGTTCGATAATGAGCATTTTCTGCTCAGGGTAGGCGTTTATTAGGTGAATACCTTGATGGAGTTCGAAGATGAGCATTTTCTGCAGAGATAAGCATTTTGATTGGTCGATGCTTTGGGACACGATAACTTTAGTTCTAATTAAGTGAGGGTGATGAAATTTGATGTATAGTTTTATTACATCAATACCGTGACTAAGTACGACAATAAGCATTTTCTGCTGAGAGTAAGCAGAGCGATAAGCAATTTGATTGGTCGAGACTTTGGAACACAATAACTCTCATTCTAATTGAGCTAGAATTTTCACACTTGGCGTAGGTGTTTATTAGGTAAATGCCTTGATGGAGTTCGGAGTTAGAAGATGAGCATTTTCGGCTTAGGGTATGGCAGAGATAAGCAATTTGATTGGTTGATGCTTTGGGACACGATAACTTTAGTTCTAATTAAGTGAGAGTGATGAAATTTGGTGTATAGTTTTATCACATCAATACCTTGACTAAGTTCGATAATGAGCATTTTCTGCTGAGGATAAGCAGAGCGATAAGCAATTTGATGGGTCGAGACTTTGGAACATAACAACTCTGCATTTAATTGAGGTAGAATGTTTAAACTTAGCTTAGGTGTTTATTAGGTGAGTGCCTTGATGGAGTTCGAAGATGAGAATTTCTGCTTTGGGTAAGCAGAGATAAGCAATTTGATTGGTTGATGCTTTGGGACACGATAACTTTAATTCTAATTTAGTGAGAGTGAGGACACTTGGCGTATAGTTTTATCACATCAATACCTT